CTTTTGTGAAAGCAAACCATTCCGCATCTCTTCGTCGTGCCCTACTTTCTCAAACCCGACAGCAACCAGGTCCATTTGACATGCACTCGCTTGTGATGTACAAAAGAAAAGGACTCAAGCACAAGGCTTACAAGCAGTGGCATGGACCAGCACGGGTGATTGGGAGAGATTTGCATGGGTACTGGATTATCCATAGAGGCACTCCCATTTTGGCACATCCACACAACATGAGAAGGGCCATTGCAGAAGAACAAGAATTGATGTTGGAGGATGAAGGCAGTCTCCTACCGAAGAATGGACAACAGGGTTTCCTTGACCTCTCAAAGCCGCAGGACCCCATCGATCTGGAGGAGGAGAATGAGCATGAGCCGACAGAACCACCAGATGAGAACGATGTGGAGTCGCCCAAGGCAGCAGGTGAGATGGCAACAACTTACCAAGATGAATGTACTTCCAGTGGTGATGAATCCCGTGAAGTTCGAGCCATGAGAAAGATTGAGAGAGAGGAGAAGAGGAAGCGCGAGACTGAGGAGACCACAGAAGCTGCTGACGATGATGATGAAGAAGCTCGGAGGATCAAAGGTCTTCGTCGCCCCAAGAAGACTGAGGAAAGCTCAAGCAAGAAGAGAAGAAAGAGGAAGAAGAAGTTGGAAAGCTCAAACCAACAGAACATTGAGGAACAGCCTGTTCCTCTTCCCGAAGACTCTCCAAGTATGCCCTCCATGATTTCTCAAGATGATGAACACAAGAGGAAAAGAGAACTACTCCTTGACGACGTGCCTGAGTCAGTTCGTGGTGCCATTCGAAGAAGGCTCGAAGAAAAGGCAGAAAGTGGACAAGAAGACTCACAGAGCATCTTCACGCCTGAGGAGAAGGAGACCATGTGTGTTGCCTTTTTAGCCGAGAGATTGGACACCTACACCAAGCACAACAAGCACACAGAGTTGAATCCACAAAGGATGAAGGCACAACTTTCTCAGTTCACGGAGGAAGAGATCGAGGAGGCAATGCAGAAGGCGGTGGAGAAAGAAATCGGGACATGGCAGAAGTTTGATGCCATTGACATCATTCCTCCAGAGGAAAGTCAGCAGGTAAGAAAAGAAACGCCAGAGAAGGTGATTTCTTCAAGAGGAGTATGGACAAAGAAAGATGATGAGAAGCGAGAAGCACATGAGAAGGAGGAGCTGGTCTTGAAATGCAGAGTTGTTGGTCGAGGATTTCAAGAAGAATATGATGAATCGCTCAGGCGAGACTCACCAACATGTTCAAACCTGCTTGTTCAGATCATTTGCAGTTTGGCCTCCTCTCGCTTCATGAAGCTCACAGCTGCTGATGTGCGTGGTGCTTTTCTTCAAGGTTTGAAGATCGACAGAGAGCTTTATTTTGAACCTCCCAAGAACATTGGAAAGGCTCAGATTCCGGGAGTTCAACCAGGTTCATTGTTGAAGCTCAAGAAGCCAATTTATGGTGTGAATGATGCTGCACGGCAATGGTACCATTCCATCAAGGGAATCCTCCTAGGACTTGGCTGGGAAAGTCTGACATTCGAGTTGGCAGGTTTTGTGCTTCGAGACCCTACAACCCGAGAGCTGATTGCAATCCTGGCACTACATGTCGATGATGTCCTCATTGCATGGAATGAAAAGCAGTTTCCAGATGAACGCAAATCCATGCAGGAGAAGATGCAGAAAGAAGTCGAGTGGGGACAATGGAGGACGGACGGCGCATTGAAGTTTTGTGGATGGTCCTACACCCAGGAAGAAGAATGAACAATCCATGTGCATGCACAAGACTACATCAACACCATGAGCACATACAAAGTCAGCAGAGAACGTGGCAAGGACAACAATGCATCTTTGACCACAAGCGAGGTGAAAGCTTTCAGAGGACTGTTAGGTCAACTACAGTGGTATGCACGGATCATGGGCTATGCAATTGGCTTTCACGTAAGCAAACTGGCCAGTGAAGTCGAGAATCTGAAGATTTCCAGTTTGAAGGAAGCAGCCAAGCTGGTTCGTGAGGTGAAGCAATATCACAAAGATGAGGAGTTGATTTACAGACCGGGAATGTCCTGGCAACCGGATGACATCTCAGTGGTTGCAGTTCACGATGCTTCATTCAACAATCTACCGGGACACAAAAGCCAGAAAGGATACTGGTTGGGCATTTCCACACCACAGATCATGAAGGATCGGACCTCAGTGCATCATGTTCATTTTGTGCATTGGACATCTTCGAAGATCCAACGTGTGGTGCGGTCTACATTGAGTGCTGAAGCATATTCCTGTTCGGAAGCTTTGGATGCCCTCAGTTGGCTTCGTGCTACAGTTCTGGAGATTTTGCATGGTGATTTGGACATGAAGCAATACAAAGAGCATCTACACAAGATTCCTGGAGTGACGGTCACAGATTGCAGATCCCTATATGATTGCATGAAGTCGGAACGAGTGCTTCTCTCAGACAGAAGGTTGTCGCTCGAAGCAGCCATCATCCGGCAGAGTTTGCAAGAAGGGATAGAATGCAAGTGGGTCCCATCAGAGCAGCAGTTGGCCGATGCTTTGACAAAAGCCTTACATCGGAAAGGATTGGCATACCTGAACGATGCGCTGTACTCAAACAAGTGGACTCTTGGACCAGACCCACGTCTTCCAGAGACACCGAGAAGCCGGAAGCTTGAAAGCCCAGATGAAAAGCCCAAGCCGGAGAAGATTCAGGATCATGAAGAAGCAACAGCAATCAACAAGTTGCCCATTGAGCTCGATGATGATGAGATCATTGACAGCCCCAACACAACAACCTCAGCATCCACGACATCCCCAGGCAGTGGTGTGAACACGAAAGCAGTACTGATGTTATCATTTGCACAGCAGTTCCTTCCAGTCAATGCAGAGCAAGACGTAAGGACGATTTTGCCCTCATGGTCATGGGAGTTGAGTTTTGCGTGCTTGATCATTGTACTGACAGCAGCCCTTTGGTACAACACAGTTGAGTTCACAAAGCTGTTTGGATGGTATGAGGACCTGGCATTGTACAAACAAGGCGCTCTTGTTGCAACAGTGACAATGCTGACGGTGGCAATCGGGATGAAGGCAACAGTTTCACAGAATTCAGAATTTCTTACAGTGTTGTTGGGAGCAATGGTGATCATGATGGTGATGATTGTGAAGAGAATTGATGAAAAGACAACGACGACAAACCTCATCTTGGGAACCGAGAGAAGAAAGACCCAAGAGCTGATCCATGCTGGACTTTCACAGATGTTTTCTGAGAACAACATCATGCTGACCAACTTGGACGGATTCAGACATGCAGTCAATGAAGACTTCAAGAAACTCTCCAATTTTGTCAATGACAGCAATCGCTTTACATATCAGAAAATGGACGATATATCAGAAGAACACAATTTCAGAACCACAAAAGTCATTGACCGATTGATCAGGATCGAGTACAAACAAGAACGGCAGGAAGTAAGAGCACTCGATTTGGAGAAGAGATTGAAGCAGAAGAAAAGGAGAAGAACACCATCAATGAGCTCGGAGGCAAAACGAGACATTCTACAGAAAAGGCAAGATCGCCGTGAAGCACCAGGAACCCCGACAGAGTCCGAGGTGATGAGTTTGCTGGAATCGCCTACACCGCAGGAATTGTTTCCAGATCCGGCAGGTGATGGTCGGATTGCACCCTTCGAAGAAAGAGAAGAGAATGATGAAGAGTATGAAGGTGAAAAGGATGACAAGGAGTCAATGCAGGCGACTGGCATGAGTCAAGAACGCTGGGACTCGATGACATCGAAGGAAAGGAGCTACTTTCTTTTGACAGTTTCCTGGGAAGCAGCTTGTGTCTACAAGGACAAAGAGCAAATGGGACTCATCATGGAACAGATGAGAGTGTTGGCCGACGAAGTCAACAATGAGAGACTGGCATCCTTGTCAGGTGCCAGCAGCTCACATCACGATGTGCCGCAAGCAGAACAGTCACAGAACATTGAGGAATGTGAAGAAACCAAACCTAGCTCATGACTGTTCTGTTGAAGGCAGGTCGTGGTTTGCGACTTGGTACATCCTAGGTCCTAAGGTTGGACTTCATGGATGTCTGTTCGACTCCGCGGCCATTTAGGCCTTGAGCTTTTTCCGTGAGCGTAAAACAGCGTTCACGGTGCTCATCCACGTCTTGACAATATATATGTTATAGTTCTCCTAGTGTTGTATGTGTACGCTTAGATACCACCAAGTATGCTATACGCTTGTTGATCAAGTCCAGTTGGTTTTCTTCGAGCACTGAAAAGGCCAGACACCATGCCGGATGCCGACCATTCCTTCGACAGCAAGAGACACGCGGTATGCAGATAGTTGACTCGGAATATGTTTTGAGCTTTTGAAAAAACAGACGCAATGGTCATTTGTGATTCATGCTGAGGCGTCGGGGTTCTAACATCCATCTTGTCTCTTTGCCTCCCGCGATGACCAGAAGCGCGACTTTGGCTGATTTTGGGAAGATCTGACTTTCAGGAGCAAGAGCATTGATCTCAGGTACTGTGAGGCATGACCCTCCGCGTTTTGTGAGTCAAATTTTGGCAGATTGAGGACAAATGTCCTTTCTGGACAGATCTGACCAGGTTCTAGCAGAGCTGCTATTGAGGGTTTGTAGATACTGTAGTAACTAGTAGTTCAACTTCAACATGGATAGAAAGCTTTTGGTACTTGACCTGTATCGGACGCGAAAACTGATGGCTTGTGGAAGGGCAGCCTCTGCTGTGTCCTGGAATGTAGACCCAGGACCTACGAAAGAGAAGTGGTTGAAAACGTCCGGTAGTATCTTCCGATGTAACAGGCGGAGTAGGGGCATCAGCCCCGCTTTTGATCCCGGATTTGCAGAATGCCAGCCTTTGACTCGTGGCGCTTAAAAAGACGGTACAAATGGTCGGGGGTGCTTGAGCAATATGTGCTGATATACGAGGTTTGTGTTCTTACCAAAAGATCCTTTTGTCATTGACTGCCGAGGTGGCCTCAGCTTGCTCAAACCCAATCAAGGCCTTTCTGGAAGAGATTGCTTGCGTGTTGGAGCTTTTGATGGTTGAATCGCTCACTTACACAGGGGATGACTCCACCTGGACAGCCTTGAGGTGCTGGCTCTTGTTAACTTTGAGACGGAGTCAAATTTGAAATGGGAGGTTTCCTTCGTCTCCCTTCCATAGAGAATGCTTTGGGCGTGTGCGTGCCCGCGCAGCAAGAGGTTGACCGGGTGCCTTTTTCTTGTATCCTAGTACATCACACACGCATGAACAACCCAAGAGCAAACGTATTCTAGCTTCAAAGTGGCAGTTTCAGGTGCTTTACTGGCTACAAAGGGCTTCAGCACACGGGCATTTTCGTTGGTGGTTGTCTTAGCATCAGTGGTTTCGACTGGAGTGTGCACTTGGCCAACTTGTAGGGTACGAAGGCTTGGGATCGCATCCTTGTCCGCTCTCAGGCCTGTTCTGTTGTCTTTTTTGGCTCTTTCTTACTCATTTTTTTGGCGAGAAAAGAGAGAGAGATATATATATATAATATACCTGACACTTTCATTCTGAGATTAACATCTAGCAGTGTAAACACACGCTTCCTTTTTCACCAAACATTGCCATAAAAACGATAAAATTTTGTGCGAGCCTAAGCATTATTTAGTTTGTCTCATTATTTTTGATCATCATAAATTTACCTACCCAAAAATCATGTCATTTTTCTATTTTCTTTCGATTTGTTAACCCGCTTCTTTTTCCTGTCCTCCCTACTTTCTACATAAATTACTCTACACCTTTTGCACTGTTTGTCTATAAATTCTAAAAATAGTTCGGTGTAATTTGATTGCTTAAGAGAATACAACCAAATTACGCAGTTACCCCTGTGATTTCACAGCCCGGTGAAAACACAGTCTCCGAACTATACAAAAACCGACCATACGAAATTCACCGTTTCCAAACTGCTCAAGAGTGAGAACGATGACAGCCAGTCGCCAAAACAATGACAACTTGCCATCAGTGATTGTTGTTGCATTTGGCACACTTACACATATCTAAATGATTGTTTTTTTTCACATTCAATCACTTTCATCATTACAACTCAAATTGTAAATTACCGATATTCGTCCTACCAATACTTCGTGTAGGTGAAGAAACACGAATATGATTTCATCCGACTTTGTATCGAACAGTCCTTTCACGATATGAAAGCAAGGAAGTAATCCAAAACAAGTTAAGATGCCCGCATGCCAAGAACGGTGTGTGGACTTTTGGCATATATTGTACTTCTTTTCAACTATTTCTTTACAAGCACCAACACAGTAAAATGCCTGTAGGGATAAAATTATTTGGTGCACCATGATTTGACAGACATACCAAAAAGAGGAAGGAGAGCGTTAAAGTCATTAATCATAGATGGTCGGAGGTTCAGATACAATAAAGACGAACCCATATGAAACTCTCGGCAGAAAATTAGGGTCTACGAAGGCAACCAATGAATACAACGTGCAAGAAATGTGTTTAATCACGGAAGGAAGCTCTACTAGCAAATAGAAATACAGTAAAATTCCCCGTGAACATAAATCCAGCCTTCAAAGGCTATGCCAATTCCATTGAGTTGGAAAACAAGCTGCAATGAAGTGTATGCACATGTTGGTTAAAAAGACACCTACTACTTTACCGGCCTTTGGCTCAAGGCCTGACGGGTCGACCCTGAAAAGGATCCCTTGCCAGAGAGTTCGATGCTACCACTGTTCCGGCAGTGGTAGTCGAGCTTTGGTGAGATCCAGGCATGACTAGTGTGCCCCCGTATCCGCCTCCCGGCTTGTCGCCTGCTGAGATGGAACAGGCGACCGCCCACGCTGCTCAGGCATCTTCGGCTGCGAGCGGCACGGCGGCGCCAGGTTCGACATCATCGGGTGTAGCTGAGCCATGGACAAGATCCATGGTCTGCCAATTCTTCAATCAACTCCAATGGGGCGGACTACGCTGCTCATGGATCGCGAACACAACCTGATCCAGCACTGCGGGGTGCACGTGCTAATGCTCAGGCTCAGCTAACTTTCAGTGGGGTGATGCTGTGCGAGACAATGCGCAGCCGGCCCACCGCCGGAATGGGTCGGCTTGAAGATGGACTTCAAGGATTACGAGATCAAGGCAAGGCTTTGGCTCCAGACTACTCGTACACCATCTCTGGCCAGAGGGCCAGTCCTGCTCCCAATGGCCCACCATGGGAGTGCATGACGTTTCTTGCCACCGATGACAAATGGCTGCACAATCCAAACAATGGAGTGGCTTGATCATGGACTTGAAGGAGTTGCCCTGCCGTCGGAGTACCAAGGCTTCCTTTTGGTGAGCCCTCCAGTTGACAACCAGTGACCAAGTGAAGCTGTGAACTACACTACACCCATGGCTCGCTACAGTCGACGTGAAGGCATGGCTCCGGGTTCACGAAAGAGATTTGTATGTCTCCACCCTCGCCAGCGAGAAGAAGGAGAACTCTTCCGAGATCCATGCTATCAACGACGAGACCCTGCCTGACGAGGAGAAGACCATTGAATGTGCGAAGGAACCGTTGGCTGACGAGGACACCGTCTACTTCGTCAACGCCTTGGCGGAAATGTCCGACGGGGACGATGATGCCTCAGCGATGACTGATATCTCTGAGCTCGAGGCCAAGGAAGTTTTGATGACCATGATCAGGAGCGACCTCGCAGCCGGCTTTACCAAGGTGTGATGAAAGCAAAGAAAAACCGTGACTGGCACGGGGTTTTAGTGTTGGTCGTGATGGCGCCATCAGGCCGGGTACCTATGGGGTGTCCATAAAGGATAAGAAACGAACGAAATGTCACAAGTGGAATGAAATTGGCCACTGGAGTCGTGAATGTCCAAAGGGCAGACTCTCGAAACTTGAAGGAATTTCATCATTTGTCCACGATTTGAACTGAGGAGCTGGAGTTTTTGTATCTAGAGTCTGATGCTGCCAGTTCATCGAATGTTGCTGGACCGACTGACAGACCCGCAGGTTGATTTCGTGTACATGTGCGCGCCGCCATCTCCCTGCTATCAATTGAGTCGGGTTAGTGGTATTTTTGATGAAGGTTGTCTACAACAATTGTCAACGTATTGCTGTTGGACTGGATGCTACTTTACTTTTCCGAAAGACAAGTTCATGATTTCATCAAGTTTCCGCTACTATCAGGGTTTCTGTGGTCCTTACGAGTCTAGGACTGCGTGGAAGCTAAGGGAAATTTCGCGCAGCGCACCATTTCTCAATAGTTTACCATGTCTTCTTCATTGTCAAGCGCAGTTGGTTCTGGACAACAAGAATGCGAGTCTGTCCCGCGTGTCTAGTACGTTGGGTTTTTCAGCAAAGTAGTTCATTTACAGGATTTGCCTTGAAACCGGATCAGACATCTTGCAAACACTCCACAGTCTCGTGGTTGTGAATATGATGTGCTACGCGCAGAACATCTAGCTGGCTCTGACTTGCCACTACCACCCAGTTTCCGGTTTGACCTCCCCCTCTCTCGAACCAAGAGAAATCGCGCCGACGAGAACATGACGGCTGACGGCGCTCTTCTGCTGGTACCGCGTGATCATCCGGCTGCAGGGAAACCAAGCCACTGCTCAGATGAAGATCCCAGGTTTGAGGGGGATGCGCGGCCAAGTTGCTGGACACGGACGAGCTCGACGATGTGGTCTCAAAAATGGGAGCCCGTCTTCAACGTCGAGGCCTTCAAGAAGCCAGTTGTGATTGGCGTTACGCGCGCTTTCCCGGGTTTTTGGATCGGACGAATCTTGAAACCCGCCGTACATGTCTACCTCACTGTTTACCCGGTTTGGACAGTGATGCTTCGTCCGATGCCTTCGCTGGCAGCGTGCCCCCACGAGCTGATGTTTGGGCGTAGAAAGAAACGACGCAAGGCCCCCATCACGCGCCTCTCCCCCAAAAAATTCTACAAGCGTCGCGTCGCGCAGGTAAACTCTTCTTCACCGCATTTCTCTTCCACGTCATCAGGAGATGTCAAAGTTTGATTAGGTCCAAAGCTTATTCGCGCAAAAGACCATTGCGCTGAAGCGCCCAAAGATTTGAAAGATACGGGGCCATACCTCTTGGTCATACAGAAATTTCCGTCGAAAGTGGGGGAAAGAAAAAGAAGCGAGCGCATCGAAAGATAATGAACAAGAATTGGCATGATTTCTAGGTAAAACTGTGATGAGAGAAATGAGCGAGACTGCAAGTTCACGTGCAGGAGAATTCTCGGGCCACATTGTGGCAGTAACCGCCCGCGCCAGTGGCTTATAGACAGAGGGCTCACTTGCAACGCGCAAGGTTGGCCCCCCTTGATTAATACGATTTGCAGGTGACGGAAAAAAAGATTGATTTTGTATAATCAATTGTACAATTGGCATCAGCTGATGCATATGTTGCAGCTAAAACATGTACAAGTGGAACCAGCTGATGCATATGGTGCAATACTGATACGAGAAAGATTGAAGCGTAGACTATTGAGAGGAGTCGTTTGTTTGCTTTTCATGGATCTGGTGGTGCAAACGATACAACAATGAAAGATATAGTAGTAAGACATAGATGATATGTGAAAACCACATGTTTTTCTACGTCTTCTTCAAGCCCAAGTCCGTTCCCAGACACACCTCAAATATGGATTTCTGTTCCAAAGGAATCCCGCGCCATAGCTAAAACAAAATAGCGGTGAGCGCGACCCAACGCAACTCAGCACCCTAACGATGTCAGAATGTCGTGCTTGGATTGCTCTTATTCATTAATATCGATTAGCTCAAACTTAGAATGAAGGTAATGGTAGGCCGGAATAAAGTGCGCGTAGAACAACCAGTAGGAAATCAATTTTGGGACAGTGCTTAAGACGCGTTAACTGAACATGTGAGATGTCTTCTTTACGGCTCGGGGTTCTATTGAATTCTGAATTTGTGTTGTGAGCAATAACGACACGCGTTGAACGCTTTCGCTATCATTCTTGGTGACAGGAAGTGGCCATTGCCTCGAATTTGCTGCTGGATGTGCAGGACTTGGGCACGCAGACAAGTCTTGCCATGATTTTGGGTGATTCAAAAGGAGTAGAGGAGAGCTTTCCCTAGCTGATTTGAGGCTGGCTTCGCTGTGCCATGGAAGGACGTTGCTGACAAGAACCAAGGTTGCTTGTGAGGTGTGCGCGCAAGGGCTTTGGAGCTGTTGATGTGGAGGCATTGGTGAAGGAGCATGGCTGCGAGTGCAAGAAGATACTGGTCATTGTGGTGAGATTACGGAGGCTGAAAAGGATTTTTGATAGTTGTCAGAATCCACGTAAGAGACAGTCATGACCATCCATAGGTACAAGTACAGGAACTTTGACCGCGACATCTAGGCTCCAGTTTGCGAGTAGAGGGAGCGCTACTCTGCTACATGGTAGTGGAGCCACGAAAGTGGCTTTGCAGGGCAACATCTTCATTGAAGAGGACGAGAACGAGTTGGCTGGGGCTTTGGATCCTGTGCCTGCTGGCACTTGGTCACGTGAGCGGCCCTGGCGCTGGCAGAAGAGCTGCACCATCGAGAACACAGGGCCCACCAGGGACAGAGATACAAAGTCAGGCACCACTACGGCCTGGAGGTGCGTTTGAGAGTGTTTGAAGGAAGAAAGAGAAAAGAAGCAAACCAGAGATCCAGTTCATCGAAGAGTCCCAGATCGTGGAAGTCCAAGTACCAGGAGCTTGGAGGTTGCTGCGATTCGAGATCTACGCGGCTGTAATGCGGTTCACGGTGTTCAGGAGGTGTGGATACAAGTGGTTGAGCAGGAGAAAAGGAAGTGAACAAATTGTTTGGTTGGAGAAGACAGGTCACCTGACCTACGTGGGACACTGGACAATGGCAGAACACGCCCTGAATGCTCTACAACAGTCATTGCAACGGTTGGTGCAAGTCCAACAAAGCCAACAATGGAACAAGCGCATCAAAAGCGCATAAGTGTTCAAACCAACCACAAGGGATGAAGAACTGCGTTAGTGGTTTGGCTGGCGATTTGGCTTCGCGCAGTAGAACCAAAGACTGCCGAGCTCCTCCAGACGATCAACAAGCATGTTAAAGGGGAACTATGAGATGAGCGAGATGGACAGGGACACCCAAGCCCTGAGCGTAAAGTTCTATAGAGTGCTGGTCTCATAGATGAGGAACCGGCCATTGTCACTCACTCGCCATTTGGGTGGCTTTGGTGGCTTCAAAGGATGGAGTTTGGTGGTGAGGGAGATGGAACCGTCCACGAGACAAAGGAGCCTTGCCTTGTTGACGCAACTCAGCAGGGTGGGTTCTCCAGAAGCAAAACAATCACGGAGCAAATGCCAGCATATGAGAGCCTCGTGCGAGAGTATGAGCGCGTCTCAGGGAACACATTCCCAGAGGATAGCATGATAGCATCGATCTTGTTGGCCCTACCAATGGCTTGCCGCGCGATGGGGTCCAACGAATTCGCTGCAGACGCCGATCAGGACATCAAACGATGACACCGTGCCCATGGAAGTGGACAAGGTGACAAAAGGCAAGAAAGGAAAGGGTAAGGACAAAGGTAAGTCCAAGAACAAAGGACAAGGGAAAGATGATGGCAAGAACCAACAGTTCTCCGTCAAGGGGAAAGGCAAGACAGAGAAAGGCAAGCCGAAGGGGAAGGACAAAGGGCAAGATGGAAAAGGGAAGGATGCCAAGGCGTGCTTTGATTGTGGAAAGAAAGCGCATCTGGCAGGAGAGAGCTGCAGTTCAAAGAGGATGAATCAGGTCTAAGAGGAGACCCAATCGCAAGCAGGCCAGATTGCGTCATCGAAAGACACGCAGTCTACTGCTGTGAGAAGGGTCAGGCTGGTGACTCCACCAGATATGACAACCACGGAGTTGTTCAACCTCACGGAAGGTCAGGAGTCAGGAGATTGAAAAGCGCTTCGTGCGAGGGAGCCGGCAGCCGGCCATAGGCTGCAGCTACCTGCACCTTGTCCTGGTAACCTCGGGCTTGTCCTGGTCCACTCACTCTCCACTCACACTCCACTCACCCTCCACTCACTCTCCACTCACTCTCTATAACTCACGCTCCTGCGTGTTTCGCCGTGGCGAGACCTTGCCCTGCCGGCCATAGGCTGCTGTTGGCAGCTACTGCTCCGTTCAAACCTTCAAAGCGCAGGGTGTATTGTGGCACCTCTCCCTAGGGCTCGCCTTTTGACACCTCTTTCTATAGAGTTTCGAAGGCGACGTTAGGCGCTGGCAATGGTCGCTCCCTGCTCCGTTCAAACCTTCAGAAGAAATTCGGGAACGGCGCCAAAAAAAGAAGTGGACTTGGGAGTGATCCCCAGGAAGTTCAAGAGTGGAACCCCTCTGCAAGCGATTCCAGACAGGCAGCAGCAAGGAGGAAAGTACCATGTGGGGATGATCGAAGAGACAGGATCAAGTGGAGATGACACCGTGTCCATCAAATTGGACTCAAGTGCTGACATTTCAGTGCTTTCCATTGGACATGGGTATCCAAATGTGGGAAAGTATGACCCCAATGCAAGGGCCAAGATGATGGACGCCCCTGGGAGAGAACATCACAAAGACCAAGCTCATGGTGACGAGCTCAGATGGCAGAAGAGTGGAGATCAGGGAGCAATTCGCTCTAGGGCGACTGTTGTGCGCTGGCAAGTTCTTGAGAAAAGGTTGGGCCATTGAGCGTGGAGAATGTGGCCTATGCCTGAGAAATCCAAAGACGGATATAATGATCAATGATCCCTCTACATTTGGAAAACCACAGCGTCCATATGAGGGCAAAGATCGAAATGGTGAGTACAAAAAAGAAAGAGGAGAGACGAGCTTGAGGAGAAGACGTCTGTGATGACGGTGTGAGAGGGCGAACAGAGTGCCCAGAGATAGAAGGAGAACATCATGTTCGAGCCTTGGAAGGCTATTTGAGCAAGGAGCTCATGACGATTTCAAGGACCCCAGGATAGCATAGATTGCCAAGCAGTGTGGCAGTCTACTCGGACGCCGCGGCCGTCAAGTAAGGGCGCGCTCAACAAGCATTGGAACAAGAGGATGACGTTGATGAAAGATCCCACGAAAGAAGGCATTTGGTGTCAGATCGAAAACAACAAAGACTATAAGGAGCACGGCAAAGAGGCGTTTAGGTACTTGGTACTTTCATGGGACCGCAGAGGACCCTGACGTTCCTTTCACCTTCAGAGTATGAGGAAGGCAGTGAAGTCTCCTTGGCACCCTTCCCGAAAGTGAAGGATGCTTTGCATCAGATCGAGTGGGATGATGAAGATTGGTATGAGTCCTATGAGGTCGAGGACGCCGACAAGTGGGCGCTGGATATGGAAGAGCCTCAACTCAACACCGCGAGAGAGACCCTGCAAAAGAAGTGGCCATCAACGACAAAGTCTACACGATAGAGGATGATGGCAAGACACTAAAGAAGGCGTGCTCTGACAGAGGCTTGCCCAGTGGAACCAAGAAGAACTTGCTCCTTCGGCTTCACAACTTCAAATTGAAGATGAAGTGGGAGTTCGAGGACGGCGTAGCGAAGAAGATGTATGAGGAGGACAAGCGAAAGCCAGTCCAAATCAAAGTGCCGCAGGTGCCGAGCTGAGACATGCAAGACCACCATAACTTGATGCGCGTTCCATTCGAGTCATGGTGCGAGGCCTGTTTGGCCACAAGGTTGAAGGAAGACGGCCACAAGGAACAGGTGGTGTTGGCATTTGACTTCGCCTACACCTTCGCGAACAAGAACTGCGAGTCGGTCCCAGGCGAGCGCTTGAAGCCTGAAGATTTTCCCAGAACAGTATGGGGCAATGTTGGTGGCCACAACCTCAGATACCAAAGCGGTGCAGGCACTACGTGTGCCTGCAAAAAAAGGTTCAGCAAGCCTAAAGAGTGTTTGGTGCGGTTCAGTTTGCGCAACAGCCAGCAGGAAGACTTGATCCTGCAGGCAGATGGAAAACGAAGTTGCCGACAGATCTTGAAAGCAGTGCAGCAGACAAGAGCCAGATTGAACTTGAAGACGGAGATCCGCGCCGCCGGAAAAGAGCAACACCAAAGCCCAATGGTGCTGTAGAAAGGGCGATCCAAAACGTCCGACGAATGGGCAACTGCATTCGGGAGTATTGCCAATTGCGACGCAGGCGTTACATTGGTGGCGAGACCTTCGAGTCCAAGCGCGGTGCGTGCATGGTTGATCAACAGGTTCAGAGTTTTGCTGCCAGAACGAATGACATCCTATGAGCTACAATACGGAAAGCGATACTGTGGAAGCATCTGTGCGTTTGCACGAAGCATCTGACGCGTGCCGGAACAGTTCAACAGCGTTGATGTACATTTTGCACGGGGTTTTACTGGCGCGGGATGCTGATGAAGCACGGAGGCCACAAGAGACGAAGAGAGCCAGTTGAAGTTGAAGTGATGGATGCAACGGAAGAGGAGGCGCTGGGAGTTTCAAAGCAAATTGCAATGGGGTTGGCGACGCCAATGTTGGCTGCTGGATTCAGTACACCAGGCCCTGGAAGGGCGCCAACCACTCCAGCAGGACCATCAGCGCAGGAAATAGGCAGAGGAAGAGCCACTGAGCAGCGGACGAAAGTCTGAGGCAGCAATGGCTCAAGAGACTGAGGATAGAAAGAGAACATTTGATGATGACGAGGCAGCGCAAGAGTTGGCTGGAGAAGAGCATGGGGTCAAGAGCGGTGCTGAAGAGTTGGGAGAACAAGATATGAGCCCAAAGTCAGAAAGGATGTACCCGCCAACCTATGCTGGTAATGTGAAGCGGGTGAGAAAAGAGTATGATGGTGACGAGCCACAAATGCTGATCACCGATGTCCTTGATGAAGACGAGATCGACAAAGAGGAAATGAAAAAGGCTATGAGATCGGCCGTCTAGAAAAGATCCCAGCGATCTCAGATTTCAGAAGAAGAGAGCAAGAGCTACAACAGAAACACGGCTGGTTCCGCGAGCCAGACTTGTGGCGCGCCAGCTCAAGAAAGGCACCATGTTTGAGGAGCGCGACACCTTTGCTCCTACCTCGGCTTCAATCGCGCCGAGACTGTTCGCTTACATCTTGATGCAGATGCAAGGTGCCTGGCAATTGACGATTGCCGACGTGAAGGATGCATTCTTGATGAGCCAGCAACCTGCAGGCGAGAAGAACACCATCAGGTATAGGGACAAGTTCAGCAAGCTTGAGAGATGTCTCCCAGGACAGAGAACAGCTGCCAAGCAGCGGTTTGATCTCTTCCACTCTACGGTGAAAGGTTTAGGTCCGGTGGTGAGTCTGACTGCGTGCAACCGACACTGTTCAGGTTGCTGAATCTTCTGATCAGTGTTCACGTCGATGACCTACTGCTCGTAGGTGAGAAGGCAGCAATGGACAACTTCATCGACTACGTCGCGAAGAAAGCTGGATGGAAGATGGAGATCGAAGGTCCATTCCAGAAAGTTGGTGATTAGTGTATGTACCTCAAGAGGAAAGTGCAACAGCGCTGAGCAAGGCATTGTGGTGAGGCTGGACCCCCAGGCACGTCGAACAAGTGACAGAAGCGTGTGAAGTTGGCCGCAAGAAAGCCAAGACAACACCATGTGTTAAGGCATGAACATGATGGGGTGTGGCCATGAGTTGAACTGTGCAGACTGCACAAGGTTTCGCAGCTGCGTGGGCAAGATGATGTACATCAGCGGCGAGAGACCTGACGCCCAATATGACAATATGCCATACATGTGCCGGCAAGAATGATGGCAAAGCCGATGAGCTCACAGGTGAAACATGTTGTCCACCCAGCCAGCTACCTGCATGGAACTGCCAAATATGGCATCGGGCTGAAGAGAACAAAGAAGGGCAGGTCAATCCTGGACACCAGAGAGCTAGAAGACATCGAGGATCAGGGTACACACCTCTTGCAGGTGGTGACAGACGCAGACTTCGCTCGCGCCAGACCAGGAAGTGCTTGAGCTGCTTCCACATCTTCCGGAGGCTGAATTCACTACTATCGTGGCAGGGAGTTCTGAGGCCCTGTTTGTGAAGCGTGTGGTCGAGTTCATGCTGGAGGCGTGGCCCAAGATCAAGGCAAGAAGCGATTCTTTGGCTGCCAGCTCAAGGCAGGGAGTGGGGCGAGTTCGACGCATCGACTCTGACGGCAATTCCAACATTGCTCAACCCGGCAGACATTGGAACAAAGAGCATGAGCCAATATAGCATGGTGGACGAGTATGACATCGAGATCGACGAGGAAGAGTTCAATGAAACAGAAGCAGAATGCAAAAGAAGGTCAACAAAGTGATGAGCAGGACAGGCCAAGACATGAAGATGGCACTGATCGCACTGGTGAGCATGACCACTGGCAGGGAGTGTGAGCACTTTGGATGGACTACGCCATGATGAGCGTAATGGTGCTGAACATCCTCGGCCCCACAAGGTCATGAAGGCACAGCGCAGGAAGTACAGACGGAAGAGAGCGACGATCCCAACATAGTGTACAAATGTACCAGAGGATCGACCAACTGCACGATCAAAATTATCTTCTGAAGAAGCAGCTAGAAGCAACAAAGCAGGTCAATGAGACCATGGAAAGCGACTTGACTTTCCAGAGACAACAAAGTGCTGTACTGAGCAGCATGGTGAGGGACCACGAACAGCGGTGGATCACCTCATTGCAGCGGATGGTAACTGTCCATCCAAGTGGTGAGAACTACCACACAAGTAGCAACTGCAGATGGTACAGGGGAGGTAAAAGCTTCACGCTCTGCACATACTGCAAGAGACACTCCATGGATGGGCATGAAGGCAGCATGTCAGAATCCACGTGAGAGACAGTCATGACCATCCATAGGTACATGTACAGGAACTGTGACCGCGACATCTAAAAGGAGCGCTATTCTGCTACAATAGTAGATTTTGTAAGTCAGCTTCTGCCCGAGCTGTGAGTTGCAGGCTATGTGTTCTGGAGCTCACCTCCTTCGACTAGAGGCAAGCAAGGCTTTGTGTGACAAACGCGAAGCGAACATTTTGCTTGTGGGTTTCTGACGTTGCAGGCCAGCTTGCGTTGCCGAAGAATCTATGTTGAGGCATGTTTGTATCACACTTTGAAGCATACTGGACCAGATCTGGATGCTTTAGGTGTGTTCTCGTGCTATGCGCGGAGCCCTGCTGGAGGCTGATGAAGCATATGACTAAGAACAATGAGGTTGTGATCAGTGCCTGCATGCTGGCTGCCTCCTTGCGTTGCACATTGCACTTCTCCTCTTTTTGTGGCTGGCCTTCACAAGTTGCACAAGAGTGGAGGAGTGTAAGAAATGCTGGCAGGTCTGGTAGGGCGGCCTTCGTTTGTCAGGGAAACGAATGAAGTTCATGCATGCGATGAAGGAAGAGTCGAAGTTGTCCTGCAATCCGAGGAGTGCCAGCAGCGTTCAAGCTTTGACCAGCATTGTGAGTGGTCCCTTCCATTGTACCATGAACACAGGATAGAATGACTCATCAAGAAGGACATGATAGAACCAACTGCCTCTCCTGCACTAGCCAGTGTATTTCGGGTCGCATCGCATTGGCTTGCGAATTGATGTTAAATTGATGTCAGCAGATGAATCGCGTCCTACCAGTAGAGACAGGAATCCTGTACTTTTGAGGCAGACAACTTCTTGACATCTGCAAGGATTCCCAGTCTTTTTGGTGTGGTGGCACAGCTCAAAACTGGGAGCATCCACGAACCTGAAAAAAAACACTGCTTGTAAGCTGGCGAGCTTTGACGTTGAATTGTTTGCAATGTCTCATTGCTGTCCCATATTTCTATATCAAACAATGGTGAACAAGAAAGACTCGCACTCCGCTCACTCCGCTCACTCCGCTCACTCCGCCCACTACGCTCTTCGATTGACCCATTCGTCACGCGTTTGGAGTACACAGCATGTTCTCATTTCTCATCCAGACGTGCTCATCCACCACACAAGCTTCTTAGCCATCATTTTCAGTTCAATACCTCTCATTGCAGCTGGCAAGGAGACCCCATCTTTCCAATGCAAGGTAACCTGTTGCGGGTTGTGTGTGTTGAGGCTGTTGTATCATATGTTTTGGCCAAACCAGTTCATGTTTCCGACGTTGCTTGCCTTGCTCGGCAGGCCAGCAATGCCGGAGAAGTTGACGCCGTGTCCTCAGCAACACTTGTGGGCTGCGCATATAGGTCTTGGGACTTGACTGGCGAAGACCAGAGGGAATTTACAGCGCACCAAAGGCTCACCCGAATCCTTTTTTTTGCCTAGGCCAAAAGCTCGCGGCCAACCATCAGTCTTGCCGATTCTTCAGTTTGATTGTGGGAAAGCATAATGATAATGTTTCTTTGCTGTTGCGGGTCTTCCTGCGAAGGCCAAAGCTGCTGAAATTCATGATGAGGCCCGATTTGGCACTTGTGACATGGATCGTGGGGATCTTGAGTTCCAGGTTCCAGGGACATGGTCGAAGCTTTCTGACGCGTGCACCGTCCTTGCCTTATCCTTTATCATTGATTGACCTTCCTCTTTGGTCCGCAGATGAGTGAAGGTGATCGCAAACTAGTTACATTGCAGTCTGCTGGCGCATGAATACTTTACATGCCTTTAACTTCCACAAATCTTGAACGGGAAACTTAGGTTGCGCTGGAATTGTGCGACAACCCGGAGAAGCTATGTGGCTACTGGCTCTTTGCAAACTCAGGCCAGGGTATGGACTGTCTACAGAAGTAGTCAACTGGTGCCAATGCAAGGTTTGTTTGCATTGGTCCTGGGCCCAAGGCCTGGGTGAAATTGAAATTCCAGCCTTAAACTTTTCTGATGCCATGCGGAGGCTCTGTGCTGCTACACGGTACCGCGGCCCTGTAGGCAGGCATGGCAGCTTGTTGATGGTTGCTCCAATGCAAAAGGTGAGGAACAATTCTGGAAATCTTTGCCACTCAACTTCGATGACGACGCCCGCCTCAAGCTGTGATGCCGGGGTGGGGTGCTGCCTTTGCCGAAGGCCTCTCTCTGTTCTCGGAGCTTTCCACCTCCCTCAGCTCCCCAGCTCATTGCTATCCTTCTTCGATCTTGCCGCTTCTCTCTGGTGTGACTCTTGGACTTGCCATTCGATTTCCTCTTGGACTTTGGGTCTCTTGGACCTTCCTTCGAGCAAACCTGGTCACCCCAGTTTTTGCTTCTCCCCCCTCTCCTGGGGAAACTGCTGTCCATCGTCGGCCAGCTTCTCGACTTCGTGGCTATTTGCACGAGTGATTTGGGCACCTTGCAAGAGGACCTGTCCGAGAGCTGACCTTGGCTATTCGTAGCCGACCCGCTTGGCCATCGGAGGAGGAGAGAGGGGCTAGCAGCGCAGCTAGCAGGGAGTTCGCATTGGGAGTTGGTTGAGGACGGGACAGGCATTCCGGGCGCACCGGCCAACTACCTGACCACCAATTTGGCCATTCAGTTTGAAGAGGGACCTGGACCTACACCACAATTTTGCATTGATCTTGCCAAACGGCACCTCCATTCCTCTCGACATCATCCAGAGGAGCGTGCTCGGGCAGGATTTTGGGCCAAGGCCTTTTGGGTGTGCCATTCGGAGGGCAGGCCTCCTTACAAGCCGGTGGCTCAGGCGGCGCACTGGATCCTTCGGAAAGGAGCTGGATTCGACTTGGTGCGTGTTTGCTCACAGGCTGAGAGTGATCGATTGTCTGCAGAGTATCCAGACATTGTCTTTGTGGAGAAGTTGCCCACCCTCACGGAGGTGCAGATATTCTGTGCAGGTGCTAAGGTGTCGACTCCAGCGTTGTGGAAATGCGCCAACAAATAGTTTTGGCCTCTCAGAGCCCAGATCCCTCTTTGTTGATCTTCGCGATACCGGCAGAGATTGCGTTGGGAGGATTCGAAATTAGCGCATTTGTGACGCCTTTAGATGCACGTCGTGGAGGGCTTCTATTGGCTCTTCCCGCAGGTCTTCTTGCAGAAGATGTCTTGTCGCCCCCTGGAGGTTTTCTAGATGAAGCTTTGGTGGGGCCTTCACAGGAATTTGAAGTTGACATGTTTGAAGAAGATGAACGGGGTGCTGTCGCCTCAGCAGGTTTCAAGAACACCGTTCTGGTTGCAGACTTTTCGAATTCAGTCTTACAGTTCCTTCGTGAGTACGATCCAGTCACCGATTCTTTGGTGGATGTCATCCCCTTTCTGGATTCAAATCCGTCCGCCATGCCTAGCTCCCAAGAGCTTCTTACCAAAGCCCTGGCCTGGGCTACCCAAGAGGGCGTCGAGCGTATCCATTTTTACAGTGCTCGAGAAGAGCAGGCTCCAAAGACTCGACAACCAGCCCTCAAGAAAACACCAGCCAAGCGCATCACCACGTCAGAGCAAGTGTCGGCCCTAGCGGCCCAAGTTGCACTCCTTCAGTCATTGAGGTCAGATCCAAAGCCGGAGCCAGAAGTCCCGCCATTGCCAGGAACTCAGCCATCGGCCTTTGCAGATCCTGTAAGTCACGGTGGGAGGAGTTCACCAGATGCCACCTGTATCTATGGGCCTCCAGACTCCAGCCAGGGTCACCACTCCCGCCAAGGCACTCCAGTTGTTGGGACCGCCTCCAAAGACCAGAATGGCTTCTCCAGGAGCTCTTGCTCTTCCACTGACTGCTTTGGTCTCCCATTTGATCCAAGGAGGCGATTCGTTCGGCTTGGAGGCATCGGGGTCCACAGGGGCAAGTTCGAGTTCTACTCGAGGAACGCTCAAAAGAGAGCAGCTGCAGCAATCGCTGGCGACACGGCAATCCCGCTTCTTCATGATGCTCCAGCAGCAGATTTGCCGTCGTTTGCAGCCTTCCAACGTTGTGCCCCGGACGGTGGAGGAACTCAACACACGGGCCCCTTCCCTTATGACATACCTGGAGAGGTATGGTGGTTTCAAGGGGCAAAGAGAAGCAGGCCTTGCTATGTGGGTCATTGCGCATGCAGTCGATGCAGCCTCTCGGGGAGATCTTCACATGACTCGAGAGTACTTGGCCTTGGCAGTTATGGGATTGGAGCAAAGTGTGTTCGCTGCGGGAAGTTGGGATTTGGCTTGCATAGTCACGCTAGCAGCTCTCTTTCAGGAGAAGATGACTTCAGTGACAGCCTCAGCCAGACCTTTCTCCCCCCCTGATTCCAGCCAGCATGGCCACCATCGCATTGGCCTATCTCAAGGAGATCGATGTCCTCCAAAACAGACGGCAGGAGATCCGGCCAAAGAAGGGCCAGCAATCAAAGCAGGAGGAAGATACATCGCCAAGCCGGGATGGGTACAGGGAAAAGAGGCGGTGTCCTTGTAGTTCTAGGAGAAGAACGTGAGGATATACGGATGGAAAAAGCCAAAAATGCTGAAAATGAACATCTTGTTTTCAAGACAAGTGAAGTCAACCTTGAAATCCACAGCGGGTAGCTGGCTCGTCTCGTCTGAAGGAACTGGAGCCCACTCGACCCGGCCTCAGACTGACTCGCCGAAAGATTGCCCTTCAGCAAGCCAGCCTCAAGCAATGGGGAGATGGGAGGCCGGTTAGAGACATCACTCTGGTCATTACGAGTTGGGCAAGTCTCTGGTTGGTCCCTCCTAGGGCTCAAATGCACACCAAGGAACGTAGCATTGTCCCGCTCCTTGAATTGTTTTCGCTGTGGGCGCTCTAGGGGCCGTCGGCCAGGGCCTTCGGCTTCTTCGGGAACTTTGGATGCCCACAGGCACTTCAAGTGCTAAGAGGAGGTCAAAGATGTTGGGGCGGGCCTTGCGTATTTGTTGCATGGCTTTGAACTTCTGGCACAGTGGTGGAGTTTTCCCTGACGCTGACCTTTTGTGGAGGGAACCTAGTGCAGTTCACAAGCTTCTTTTTGCTAGGCTGCGTTCCCTTATCCGGGCGGACGGCCTCCTGGAGAATTTTGATATTGCGCGTTTGACAGAGGTTTCGGCCTCGCCTATGTCTCCATATGACAAAGCCTATGTAGGCTATGAAGTTGCAGCGGACAATACCATCTTGCCCGAGCTCGAGCCGTACAGAGACCTTGGGTTGAAACTCCCTGGAACTGGAAGTTGGGACGCAACCTCCTTTCTTCCGGATGCTTTGGCAATGGTTTACCGTGAGCCACAGTCCATCAAGATTGACCGAATTCCTGAAGCCTGGGAGTACCCAAAGACAGTTGCTGCTTTGGCTAAAGTCTGGGATGTGCAAGGTCTTCTTTATCTTCATCAAGACCGTGTGGAGGCAAGGCAAGAGTTTGAGCTTGTGAGAATTTTCAACTGCTACAAATCTCTGGAAGTTGACCGATAGACGTGGGAGGAATGCTGTTGAATGCCGGGTTTTAGGACCTTCTGCAAATCTCCCTGCCGGACCGGACCTTTGCGACATCTCTCTGAATGTCAAGACACAGAGATTGGCTATCTCAGTTTCAGACAGGCGTGACTTTTACCATCAGCTTTGGGCTACAAAGTCGAGGGCAATCACAAACACCTTAGGGCCTGGTCTTCCAGCAGAATGGGTGTCCGACACTACAGCCTATCGGAACTTCCTGTTGCGCTCTTCCCAGAAATACCACCGTCGTCTTCATGGTGACAAGCTGGATATTGGGCGTGCAGGCCATAGGCTTGAGAGAAAGGACAAAGTTTGGGCATCTTTCAAAAGCGTGTTGCAAGGTGATCATGCAGGAGTTGAGATTGCCACCGCTGCGCATACGCAACTGCTCAAAGACCATGGATTGTTGGCTTGTGATTCTCACTTATTGTCGACATGGCCCTGTTTTCGGGACGACCTCTACGAGGGATTGGTCATTGATGATTATTTTGCAGTTTCTGTTGATGACATTGGAGCTGCGAACCAGGAGACCATTTCTGCAAAAGCGTATGAGGCTTCCCAAGTGGCCTATCGTGAATCTGATCATCCGAGAAGGATATTCGAGCGGAGAAGGAAGGCAAGGCAATTGGTGCTTTTCTCAATGGCAGTGATCGTGCGACCTTGCGGGGAGTCTGTTTGGTTTCTGCGGCTCCTGAGAAAAGGCTCGCCCTATCAGCTCTGACCTTGGAACTTTGTGCTCTCCCGTACACTACAGTCGTTGGGGCTTGGGTATCAGTGTTGCTATACAGACGGCCTATGATGAGCCTCCTGAACGAGTCCTTCCAGCTGGTGTCACAATTCAGTGAATGCAATGAGGCTGCCTTGATACCACTTCCAAGAGCAGTCGCTTGTGAGCTTGTACTTGTTTCAGTGCTTGCCCCAGTTGAGGTCTCCGACATTGCAGTGCCCTACGACCCTGTGCTGTATGCTACGGATGCGTCGGAGGATAGGGGAGCCATTGTTCATACAGAAGTTGGAGAGGATCTTGTTAGGCTGCTTTCGAAAGTCTGCAAAACAAAAGGGGCCTATACCAGACTGCAGACACCTTGGGAGCGGCTGATGCAGAAAGTAGGCCTTCATGATGAACTGCCCGATGAGCTTCAAGTGTTCCGGCTGATCGTCCACTGGCTTATACCTTTGAGTTTGTTGAAATCTTTGCAGGTTCTTCAAGAGTGACCGCTGCATTACAACAACTTGGAATTGTTTGTGGACCGCCCATTGATCTAAGCAAGTCCGAGGAGTATAACATGTCGCATGTTTTTGTGCTTTCCTGGCTCTACCATTTGGTTGAGAGAGGGACTTTGAGGGCCTTCATGCTGGAGCCGCCGTGCACTACTTTTTCGATCATGCGGAGGCCTGCTCTAAGAGACATTGACCAACCGTATGGTTTTGATCCTCGTGACCCTCAGACACGTGACGGGAACATCCTGGCTTGCCGTTCGCTCCAGCTCATGCACAAAGCAGCAGTACACAGAGTCTCAGGCATAATGGAGAGACCTTTCACGGCAAACACTAACCACCTGCCACCTTACAGAGCTCTTCTACGGAAGTTAGGTGCGATTCCTGCCAGTTTGGATCCATTCACCAGAAGTCATTTGCTTTGCTGGGAGTCAATATAGACTTGTCACAACTTGCCAAGCGTTGCCAAGGCAAGTGCAACCATGTGCCGGTCGCTGGGGTGTTTACAAAGGCTTCGGCAATCTACACTCCGGAACTCTCAGCCGCTTTGGCCTGGACATTTCAGCATGCACTTCAGTGGGTCGGCGACTCAGACCCTTGGAGGTCCAGCATTGTGACCGAAGGTTTGGAGAACCAGCTCGTCAATGAGGTGACGTTGAGCAGTTGTTGGAGCCTTTCTAACTCTTGGAAGTTCAAGAACAAACAGCGCATCAACCTGCTGGCAATGAGGTCAGTCGAGAAACTAGTTGAGAAGCAGGCAAAGAAAGGGCCAAGACGTTTTTGCTGTCTGGTTGACTCAAATGTATGCAGAGGAGCATTGGGAAAGGGCCGCTCGGCCTCGCTTGCTTTGTCTAGCGTACTTCGCAGGATTTCAGCTTGCCAGGTCACCTTTGGCCTATATCTTACGATTCCTTTCTGCCCTACCAGACTTAACATTGCAGACGACCCTACTCGAGAAAGAGAACTAAGACAGCCAGTGGTTGGTTGTGGTTGGAAGACCATGTCTAAGCAAGAGTTGTGGGACATTGCTATGCTGCCGAGGCTTCGTTCAAACTGGCTACGACTGATGTTGCTGCTACTCCGCGCCTCCCTCAAAAGTTGGTCAGACCGGAATAGTTTCAGGCTTAGCCGCATCACAGAACCAGTTCTCTTTGGACAAGGGCAGCCATGCCCGTCCTGCCCTGACATTGACTATTCTTGCTTTGACTTTGATGCCGCGATGGGCTATCCAGGTGAGGGTCCAGCTCGCCTGATTACCAATTTCATCGTCTTCCTCTGCGTCGCCGGCAGTTGCCTTGAATTTCCGTCTCTGTCACACCAGTGCCGTCTTCTCCTTTTTTGGTTTTCTTGGTTTTCCCTCTCCTTCACTCCTTCTGCACTCTCCTCTCATGCTTGGGTGCTCCGGGCTGCTTTAGCCGGTAGTTGCGCGGTAGTTCCCGCATGTGCCATGGAACCTGCAAATGCAGCAGACCAAGCAAGAGCTCTTGCTAGAGCCATGAGGCCGCCTCTACCTGCCTGCTGGACGACCAACTTTAGAACGCGCGAACAAGCTGAGGCTGAAATACTGGAGTGTTTTTGAGAAGTGGTTGCCTGCTGAAGAAATTGATTTCAATTATTTGATGGATAGACCCACCATGTTTGTCGAGGAGATCAATGCAATTGTTTCCCGGTTCGGTCGTGTACTGTACCATGCTGGAAGACCCTACAACCAGTATGCAGAAACGATTAACCATTTGACCTCCATAAGACCCAGCATCCGGAGACAGATGCAAGGCTCGTGGGACCTTGCGTATTCTTGGATGGCCTCCGAACCTACATGTCACCATGTGGCAATGCCATGGCAAGTCCTTCTTGCCATGGTTACAACATGTTTGTTGTGGGGATGGGTGCCGCTCGCAGGAACACTGTCCTTGTGTTTTGGTGCCCTTCTTCGCGCAGGGGAGCTGTTGTCAGCCACTAGAGCCAACCTGCTGCTTCCACGTGATGTAGATAACAGCATTCAGTATGCCTTGCTTGCAATCATGGAACCAAAAACCAGGCAGTCAGGTGCACGCCACCAGGCGGCAAAACTCGAAGTTCCTGACCTCCTGTTGGTAACGGACATGGCCTTCGGTGGTTTGCCTGAAACTTCAAAACTCTGGCGCTGGTCAGGCCAGACCCTGCGCCAGAGATTCAAAGATGTTTTGACGGCGCTTTGGCTGCCTACCGAGCGTGTTGGAAGCCTGAAGGCTTTGGACATTGGTTCTTTGTGTGCAGGGGGTGCTACCTGGCATCTTCAAGTGACTGAAAATAGTGAATGCACCCGACGAAAAGGTCGCTGGCTTAACCACCGTGTCATGGAGATCTATGTGCAAGAAACTGCTGCTTTGCTCTACCTGAAGAGAGTCCCCGACAATACACGTCAGCGTGTCATGAGCATTGCAGCTTTGTTTCCTGAGGTCTTGAGGTTAAGCTTGCGTTTCCAAGCACTGCGGCTACCCTTTACGATGTGGAGACACCTCTTCAACCAAGAAGCTTGGACGGAGTGGAGTTGATGGAACGTTTGCTGCCAGCAGAGCAGCATGTGAACCTTGGAGGATGGAAAACAAGGGCGAACTTTGAGATGTTGCCACTCAACTTCGATGACGACGCCCGCCTCAAGCTGTCCCGAATCCCTCCCCCCCAACTTGATTGAAGAGTGGAACGTTTGCTGCCAGCAGAGCAGCATGTGAACCTTGGAGGATGGAAAACAAGGGCGAACTTTGAGATGTTATATATAACTTTGTGTCCCTTAGACAGTTTGACCATGTGAACAGACATGTTTGCACCAATCTCCCCTTCATGGATTGGAGCTCGAAGCTCAAACCCAGGAGTAAACGACATTCTTTTGCCTTGGCCTGTGAGGTGAAGCTGCGGATGTCGAGTTGCGCTCGCTCAGCTGTGCGGTCTTGGGGAAGGCCCAAACTATGTTTTGGAAGACTCCGGATTGTGTGTATTGCTTTGTATTTCTTTGTCACATGTTGCACAGCTTTTATTAGCTTTTGCGCAGCTTTATATTTCCAAGCAAGTGCTTGCACTGAAGAATCTGAAGTCCTTGTTCTGAGTTAGCCCCTGATTGCGTCTATGTGTGCAGGTTCACCCCAAGGTCCCTCAGTTTTTTTTGGCAACAAGCTTCGCGTGAGTGGGCGTTGTTGCAGAAGTAGCATGTGCCTTCTTGACCTTGCAGTAACTAACACTGCTTGTCAAAACACTCCCCCTCTTCCGCTGGGATCCGGGCCGACCTCACGATTTGTGAGTGGAACTGATGTGTGTGGTTGGTGATGTCACGATCGTGCATTTGATATCGGCCTGTGAGTGTGGCGATCTATCAGGAAGGGTTGGGTGAGCGTGACAATTTCGGTGGAACGGCTTTCTTGACACTTGTGTCCGCCTATGCTAGCAACTGGTGGGTGAAGGATATTGAGGTGGCCATTTGTCTTTACATCAGGAAATGGCAAGGCTTTGAGCTCTTCGGAGAAGACAGGTGACAAGCAATACTCTTCGTGAATAGTTTAGACTCTTTGAAAAATCAACAAGTACTAAGTAGTCGAGAAGTCCAGCAGCTGCCCTTTTCTTGAACCGCCAAAAAATAGAACTTTTCTCGCACAGTCAAACTGTCTAACTGTGCTCCAGAAGTTGAAATGAGCAGAGTTATTTTTTGTTTTTTAAGTGGATGGAAATATCTATATAAGGGTTAACCTGTAAATGGTTGGATGTAGGCATTCTGCTTGGGGGCGTAGGCTGGCGTAGGCGTGTTTCTATTTTTTTGTGGCAGAAGCCGCGTAGGCGACGCATTTCCAAGTCAAGAAGATTCACGCAGGAGGACTTTAATAAGTATGACTTCTCAATATTTCAAATGTTACCTGGATAGGAGCAGGCAAGATATTGCAAAACCAACATGCAGTATGCGTAGTCACCGCGTAGGCGAAAAGTAGGGTAGGCGTAGGCGAAAACTGGTGCGGGAAGACTTTGCCCCAGACATGGCTAAGTGAAGGTTTGGAACTCTTCCTGGCTAAGAAGGACCCAACGCCTTGCAAAACAATAGACGAAAACAGCAAAAAACTTCCAAAACTGTAGCCACGTATCTATCCTAACTTCAGCGCGTAGGCAGAAAGTAGGCTTGGCGTAGGCGCCAATAAAAAGATAACACCTTACATCAGTAAAAAACACAACTCTTAAACGTCAAACTTTTGTCCAATAGCGTTCTTGCTCCTAGTAGCGATGCCCTTTGCTCCTAGTAGCTTCTTGCTCCTAGTACAAAGGCCAGGAGCCCCTAGTAGCCTTTTTGCCACAGTTGATATTTTTCGGGTGATCTTTTTGCGAAAGAAAGTCAACTTTTATGTACCCCTTGTATGTAACAGCATCACCATACATGTACATCAGTCTTTGTCGTTTGGTTCACACAGAACATACAACATGTTCGATCCGACCGACATCATTTGGCTCAAGGAAAATGTTGCGGCCGCTGCCTTTCCTTCAGGGTGCTGTGTGCGTCGACCTGTGGTCGACCTCACATTTGCTTTCGCTCTCGCACTCTTCTCCGTTTCGCCTTTCGTTTGATCGGCGCCCACTTCTGCGCGACGGGAACCAGGCCTTCGGATTCCCGCCGTTCGTTCGTCAACATCCACAGGGCGGCCAGGGACTTGGCAATGCTGAGAGCATGGTGAGATGTATGAAGAGAAGATGGGAAGAGCTAAGCTTCAGAAGCTTCCATGTGGCCAAGAAATGCTAGAACCTGATGGTACAGTGGAGCTCAAGCCTGAGCTGGCAAGTCTCTACATATCGTTCATTGGTTGGATGTGGGATCTTTTTTTGGCCAGACGTGTCCTACACCATCAAGGAGTTGGCTTCAACGATGTCATGCCTACAACAGGCAGCCTACGAAAACTGGGTGAGCTGATTGGCCATCGACAGGCAGAGAATGGGTCCGAGGATGAGAACATGGAGGGAGAAGAAATGGCCACCATTTGCCTGGACAGTGGAGAGATCGTCCAGGTGCCATTGGCCTATGTGGAACCTCGAGAGCCAGAGAGTGAAGATGAGGGACCGGCGGCGCCAGACATGCCAATGCAGGAGACGACTGAACCGCAGCAAGTAGAGTGGGCATATGAAGATATGCCAACGCCAACACCGCAAGCCGAAGACCCAAGAACGAGCCAGGCAACAAGTTCCTGGATTTCAAGTGATGAAATGAAGGCACTGGCTGAGTATGACAAGCCAGGTGCGAGGTCAGGGTTGCGAGCCAAGCAGCATAGTAGCTGAAGCTGCAGGCGGCGTGGCGAGATGCAGACCGTGAAGGGAATCATGAAAGAAAGTTAGAAATGTATAAGCTCATGGACATTCACTATCCCTTCATGGACTCGCCCGATTTGCCATTTTAGATGGAGGATTGCTCAAGGGGCACGAAAACCTAATCCTCACGAGCAAAGGAGGAGTGACAAATAGAATGCGCTCAACTCCACACATGCAATGCACTGTTCACCACAGGCCCTTTAGTGGCCAAAAGTCTGTCCGCGTATATATATATATACATGTAGAAAAACATACACACACAAACAGACATGATATGATTTGATATGACGTGATCTGGTATGAAATGATACGAGAAGATACGATATAAAGAGAACAATCTATACAATATGATGACGCAATACAATGGCCTAGGGCCTAGCTGAGACATGCAATGAAACATCACGGAGTGCGTTTCTTCTTTTTCCAAGTTCGCAAGTGCGATCGCAAAGCTCCGATCGTGGTCATGTCCTTTCACCCTTATTACCACCCATCGTCCTCTTTTTTAATGATGAAGGGAGAATGAACATGGAGTGGTTCTTTGCTTTGGCTTTTTCGATCCACTCTGTTCGAAGTGGCCGGCCTCGTTCACTCCTTAATGACCAGTGAAGAAAGCTTCGAATGAAAACAACAGATGATGCGCAGCAGATGCAGCCTCCCAGGGGCAGGAAAGAACAGAGTTTCAAGACACGCACGCAAGTGCGCTATTTTCGCAGCTTTTGGAGTGGTGTCGAGGGCGCAGTGAGTCGCCTCTGGACTAGGCACCGAGCCCACAGAGACGGCAGTGATTGGGGACGGACATGGCACCTTCACCAGGTGAAGCTGTCGCAGGTCCTTTGAGGTGGACCTCGTAAGTCAAAGGAGCAGAACAGGATGTACAGCAGGTATAACACTTAGGTTGGTGACTGCCTCCAAACCTCGAGCCAACGACTGAACAACTATCAGGCTTGAAGTCTTTGCTTGAAAGCGGGCAAGCTTAAGCTTCCTATCCGGACTTCGTGCTTTTCCAACCCTACAGAGCGAGGGTGATGAAGAAGATCAAATTTGCAGGAGTTGTGTTAAGCTGAGCCAACCAGAGATCTATGGGCCTTAGGCACGAGTGGAGAAGCGTGCACCATATACAGTGAATCAGAGATCTGGGCTGGCTCCGACGCGCACGCGTGCGCGCGCGCGAGGTTCGAGCGCCGGTACGCGCGTGTCAGGAGCGCCGCTCAGCAGTGGCCGTAGGGAAGGCCACGTGCTATGAGGAAACCTATGTGGCGTCAGTAAAGGCTCTGGGCGCATGAGTTCATTGAGCCGGCCATCGTCATGCTTGCAGACGGCAAGCCGCAAGAGGGACCGTGCGCAGGACTTCGTGGATGGAAAAAAGTGCAGCGACAGAACTGGCTGTGTGTCGGGAAAATGGCGCGCAGTGCGCCAAAGACCTATCAAAACCAATGCCACCCGACCAGCGAGTAAACGCTGCCGCTAACGGGCTTGGGGGAGAGAACTCTTCAGGTTATTGTCAGATGAAGACCGGCGCAAGGTCAAATGTGGCAACATCTAGCGGACCGAGCCGCAGAGAGGGCAGTGTGAACAGCCTGAAGTCACACGACTGGAGGACGCCCAAGCAGCACGTCTTCAAGCAGACGGAGCCGCCGCGGAACACGGACAAAAGAGAAGGGGTAGAATTGAGCGCCCCAAGTGCTTTCACTAGGCGAGGCGCGGTGCCTAGGGCCAGAACGAATTCTCATCATCCATGAGTTCGTCGAGTTGAAGATGAAACATGCAGCTGAGCTCAAGGCGTGCAAATGGAATTGCAAGCTGCAGGGTGAAGGTCCTGCCACCCTTCAGGCCTTCAGGAAGCTTGGGCCTCGAACTCAGCAGCGTCGCAAAACAAGTTGTGGAGTGTGGAGGGATGTGGTGTCACTGACGGTTTGAAGCCTTTGCCATCGCACCTCTGTTGCGGCCATTGTTGTGCATATTCCTGACAGTAACAAGTTTTTTGAATGAGATGTCGGACTGCTGGGGTGTAGGTCCCTCCGCATGGGTTACGCAATTTCAGTTTTTGGTTTCAAAAGCAAAGGTCTATGGGACCCTGCTTACGCTGGTGCCTGAAGGTTCGTGACATGTCACCCACTTCGGAGGCCTTCCAAGAAACGCACTGATGCATACATGGCCCCAAACACAACTTAATTGATCATGGCTGTGCGCCGCACCTAGAGATAGCTTAGGGTCGACGGTGCAAGCAACGCAGCGTCGCAGTCGCAGCGTTGCAACAAAGTATGAGGCTCAACATAGAGGCTTAGCAGAACTTGTGTGCTGTTGTGTCTGGATTGTTGCTAGCTGCAGAGCTTCAATACCAGCGCAATGCCCTTCCAAGTAATTATGTGGAACTTGACGGGTTTTCTGTTACCGGCCTTCGACCACTGTAGTTTGCCTACTGCTCGTTGTGTGGAGACTCATGCCAGGTTGAGCGGCCTGGTTTTTTGAAGGTGCAACGTTGCTGTGAACCGAGTGTGAATCAGTGAGCATTTGTTGCGTCAAATTGTCAATCTACAGGTGCTGCGGGGTGGTCAAGAGGTCCGAATCGGTGTATGGGAAAACGGGAGGCTTGACTTGATCAGGCTTACTGTAGAGAATGTAGAGATTGCTCACGGAAAACTAGGGCAGATTTGGGTTCTCAGTTTTGGATTAGAGAGTGTGCCACAGGGTTTTATCAAAAACAAAATCAACTGGAAACTCCGTGACTTGGTGTGAACATTTAATTTAGTTTCATGACTGGCAATTCAAATAAAGTTGGTGCAGATGTCACATATATATTTTTCATCGCAGGCCATTGACTCTCCATTGCACGATGCATCCACATCCAGACGCACTATTGAGGCTTATTAATCCGCAGCAGGGTGCATACAAACGTTGCTTTTCCATGAGCAACCAAAATTCTATTCTTGTTTGTTTCCACTGTTCCAGATAGGTTGATGAGGAAGATCAGATCGTTGCGCACAGATTCGGTGGAAGTGAACTGCGCTGGCGGATCTTGAAGATGGCACAGGGCTGATCCTGCAACGTAACAAACGCTATGCCCAAACTTGCTGCTGTGTTACTAAGGAAGAAAACCCGTTTGAAGGCAGGGCAATGCCATTTGCAATCAGTTGATACATGAATTGTTTTGATTTCAGTACACCCCTTCATTGTCAGGTGTGCCAGATGCCGTCTTGAGACTTGGCCAATATACTGCAATTGCAATTTAATTGATGTGACTAACGAACGGTAGTTTTTTCCTGCAGACATGAGTTATCTTAGGCCGGTTGACAGCAAAGATGTTCGAGCGCAGGTGCCCACATTCTCAAGTGCCACTGTTTCGTGTGGTTTTTTTGAGTCGTATTTGTGTAGGCAGAAAACAAATCACCTGGGCGAGAGCGCTCGAGGCCTAAGCTAGCCGGCTCGCAAACTTGATGTGCGGGTTGATTGATCTTGCTTGTTGCAGGTCCCCAAGAGTCACAAAATTTGAAGATGAAGTGAAGGTTCGAACCAATCAGTGTATCGCCCCTGGCTGTGAGATATGGTTGGTTGCCTGCTCAGGAGAAAGCAGAGACTCCCAAAAGCAAAAGCAGCAAAGTCAAAGAGAAGGCCAGAAAAGCTGACAAAGATAAAGCGAAGGACAAGGTTAAGGAGAAAGACAATGAAAAAGATAGGGATCAAGACAAGAAGGCAAGGCAAGCACAAAAGCATTGTGGCCCACATGTAGCTTGGTGAGCAATCAGATCGTCTTAGAATTAGTAATTCAGAAGAGGCTACAACCATTCCTGTAACCACACTCTACACAAAGGTCAAAAATGAGCGAAGGGAGAAGCCAGCTTCTGAGCCATACTTGGACTACATCAATTGCAGCAATTGCTGTTCAACGAAGTCATTTCTTTTTTTTGTCCAGGGAAGGGAAGACTGGAGATTGGGATGTTGAGCGAGACCGGGAAAGCTTCTTGCCAGCAATTGCAGCCGTCGCGAAAAGCCAACGCAAGAGATTCAAGCGAATGCAGCAAGTGCAAATGTAAATGCAAGTACAAATTCAATCTAAGGACAGAAAGCCAGAGACCGCATCAAAGATGCCACACGGGAGAGAGAGAGGCCAAAGTTGTGTCAAGTTGTACTCATCGTACTCACTCTCGAATGCCATTCATGCTGCCAGCAACAAAAGCTCCTCATCAGGTCATGTACTCCACAGAAGCCCCCAGGTGCTTTGCATTGTAGGAAGACTCTCGAAGACTCTCAAAGACCCTCAAAAAGGCACATTTCCGCCGATGCAAATTGCAACACATTCAATCAAAGTTCCCGCACTGCTGCACTGCTACAGAAGAAAGGAAGGCAGTGCAGACATGTCAGCATATTAACGAAAAGCAATGGAGGCGCAGCTTTGTGTGGAGGAGTCATCAAGCGAAGATGACACTGAAGTTTCGCCCGATGATCAAATTCCTCTTTGGATTCGTTACCCTGGGTGGACCAATCTTGTCTTGGTGCTTCTGTATGGCTTTTTCGGTATCACATTTTTGACAGTAAATCAGGGATGGCATCCTTTGACAGCTTTGTACGTAGTGGTGCAGATAGTCACCACTATTGGGTACGGCGACATAACCGTTACAACTGAGGAGAAAATCTTCATGACACTTTACGTACTTCTGGGCACAGTTTTGGTGGCAAAAATCGTCAACGATGTGACTGAGGAGTTGCTGGTCTCCGCTAGTGTTCGAGTAGATGAGAGTCTTCACCGAGTGGAAGAGTTGATTTCACCCTCGAAGGGTCACCACTGCGGTGCCTCCTTGCACAATTTGATCGCTGCATTCTTGATTCTGTCATTCTTAATCATTCTGTGGGTACTCTTTTTCGTACTCTATGAGGGATGCACATGTTCCTATGGCTACACTCAGGTGGAAGGTTGCGAAGCAGATCATTGCGCAGAAACCGGCGGGAGTACAAAAAGCGTCGTGGATGCTGTCTACATGGCTGTGATCACGTTTTCAACCGTTGGTTTCGGAGATTACACTCCTGACAGTATGTTCGGACGCGTTTTTGCGTCCATTTTCATGTGTGTTGGTGTTGTTGCCTTTTTCAACATGGTGTCGGCAGTTGCCGATACAATCGCAGAGATGCAACGCTCTTATAAGAACAAGCTCCGATTGTCTCACCAACGCTTTGATCGGATTGATCGTGATGGAAGCGGCCGTATCAACAAGACTGAGTTTCAAGTCTACATGATGCTGCGGCAGAACAGGGTAACTTCAGCGCAACTGAATCGCCTTGATCGGATCTTTGATTGTATGGATCGTGATGGCTCCGGAAAGCTCTCATATGAAGAGATCAGCAATGGACTGCTAGATATAGACTTGGAGTGAAGCTCAGGGAGGGAGAACTATCCTGGCTTCTCTTGCAGTTCGCAAAATCGATGTGAAGTCATTGATCATCCTTTAACTTAAGACATCTAAAGCATCATGCTGTTGTCTAGTTTTTGATTTGCAGGGGACGAGATCGTGAGCGAGACCGAGACAAAGCAACATGGCCGGAAAGGAAGCCAAGGTAAGAAAGGAAAGCAAGCAAAGGGGCGACCCAATAGTCATTGATTGCCAAGGAGAAGCGAAAAGAAGCACCGAGGTCTTCTCGAGCAGCCGGACTCAGAAAGGAAAGTGCGCTTTTGTTTTGTGGCATTTTTTGTTGACAAGGAACGAGAAGAGAAGCCAAAGCGACATTTGGAGAGGCTGAAAAGTGGAGATTCTTTGCTTTGAATGTCTTGCAACTCCTCCTACATCCTACATTTGTGAGCCATTCCTATTCTGGGTAGTCCTCGAAATAATCAATTCTTTCGATTCTCTGTGCTTTTCCATTCATGAGGAGTTAGTTTCCTGAAAAGTACATTTTTTTGTGTTCATTTTTCGATGCCGCAGTTCATTCCTCTCGAAATTTGCTGGGCTTGTTGAGTATCCAGGTCTCGCCTCATCCTACTCTCACCTCGTCTCGTCACAGAGCACCTCACCTTATTGGTCGTTTCAAGTCAAGTTTTCCTAAAAATCTAGGAACCAAATCACTAGTGCGAGCGCTTTTTCATTGAAGCTTCCCCCCCGCCGCCTTTAGGGTGGGGGTAGAGCTTCCTTGAGGAAGCGTGAGCTATCCTGCGTCCAGTTACTAGTAGATCCTTGCTGGTACTAGCTACCTCTTGTACTAGCTACCTAACTACTACCTCTACGGCCTACCCCCGGGCTAAGATACTGTAAGTTACACCAGCATAGACCCCAGATAGCAAAAACATTGGACAGCACCCTGCAATGTCAGCAGCTCCAAAGCATACACAGAAACCTTTTTGACACACTTGGGTGTATCTCCTCTACCAGCTCTATTTACCAACCAAACAAACCAACCAACCTAGTCGGCACAAGGCCACCGATGCTTCTAATCCTTGCCCCTTCCGACGGGGGAAACGCAGGAGTGGCTTCAAGTCCTGCATACACCGTAGGTGTTGAGGTGAAGATGAGATTGACAACAACCCTCCAAGAATCCCTAGCAATGCAAAACATGTAAATCGTCCTTAGATGTCCTTAGATATACCTGTCTCCACCACGTGCACAGCCAGCTCACAGCACCAGCACCAGCACCGGCACCCGGCACCACCGCCAACCTAGCCAGCTCACACAGCACCGGCACCCGGCACCCAGCACCAGCACCCGCACTGGCGCGCGGCACCCAGCACCAGCAGCACAGCCAGCTCACAGCACCAGCACCAACACCGGCACCCAGCACCAGCACCAGCAACCTGTCTCGAAAACGCGCACGGGCAACTCATTGTTATTTGAAGTAAGAATCCCATAGCTTCGCTTTCGCTATCTGGGGAAAAACAAACATTTTTGGACGGAGACAGAATGAAGAGGGGCTCAAGACTTGGCCACTCTTCTGCTCAAAGCCTTTGATGAGAGGGATGGATAAGGGCAGCAATGCGCAGAGAGTTTGTGCCAAAACTCGTTGGCGGGCCTCAATTCTTGGTGTGCGTATCACTGGGTCACTAGAGGCTATTTTTCATCCTCTTTGGTCGACCCCTGCTCACTCAAGCGCTTGTGACCGATGCCTTGTTCCGGCAAGCTTGCAGCACGTTTCAATGTTTCTTAGTTGACGTTCGAATGTTTATGCTTTGTTACGCCACTACGCTTGATGAGGAGTCATGCCTTCGACAAGCAGAACATGATACCATCCCAGCCGCTCGGATGGGATCACAGACCTCGTGCTTTGAGTTGACAAGCTTAAGGCCAAAAGCCCAAAATACACCGTCGAACACCCAGATCCCCAAGTGACTAAGTACATTTTGTGTTTGGCTGCCGACTCTTTCGAGTTTACTAGCGCCAAGAACCTAAGCTTTCTTTGGCTGCCGCTTTGAACGCCTTGAGAATTCTGTTTTCAAAAAATAGGTTGTCGCTTCCAAGTGCTGCTGCGTTGCTGGCAGCCATGAAGCAGGCAATGAAGATTGTCTTTTAGTCTTGAAATGTGCAAATAACAATGGAGTTTGGACCCGGGTCCTGTCACATGAGGCACCAATTGAACCAAATCCAGAAGTCGAAATGTTCTTGTCAATGAACACGGCCAGATCCCTACTCAGATTCTAGAATCTTAATGATTCCATTTGCTGGCAGGGTGAAGCCTCCAGAGAAAAACACCCAAGCTGGAACAATTTGGTGTTGAACAGCAGCAAAAGCAAATTTGTACACGTTTGCAGCTTTGCCATGGGAAACAAGGTAGTCAGGAAGAGACGGCAAAACTGCAGTTCTGAGTCAAGAGCCCTTGAGGTCGAAAGCCATGCTGCAACCAAGCTTCGCTCCTTACCGCAAACGCCCCAATGGCCCCTCTACGCTACTAGTGACAAGTGCATTACTACTAGTAACAAGAAGCTACTAGGAGCAAGGGGCATCGCTACTAGGAGCAAGAACGCTACTGGGGCTCCTGGCCTTACTACTAGGAGCAAGAAGCTACTAGTAACAAAGGGCATCGCCACTAGACACGGCCCTGCTCCGCTTGGTCCTTCAAGGCGGAACCTGCAGCGGCAAGTGCTAGATAGAGGCTCTTTGATGGGAGCACGTGATCCGCTTCCTCCTGAGGACATGAAACAACTAAAAAAACAACACATATTTATAATCATTTATAGAAAGATCAACAACATCTTTTTCTCTGACTTCTTTCGAGAGAGCTCATTTTCCATGTAAAGAGCGTGTGACTAAGCCTTTGTTTATTAGGTCTGCTGTGCTCATCTCACGAGTTCGCAAACTCCTCAGCACTCCCTTTCCTTCAACAATAGGCACTTAGAGAAAGGGACTCCATGCTGCGGAGTAAGGTGATGCCATGATGTCATCGGCTCACACCACGCCATCGTTGCCACTGGTGACAATGATGCTTCCCAATGGACAGCAGGCAAATTCGGTTTCTGAGTTCGTGGGAAGAATCGACAAGTGCATTCCTTGTCAGGTCCATCCTGCGGTGGAGGCCTTGATCATTCGTTATGGCCTAGATGCGCAATGTGCACAACAGTTGCGACAGCTTCCCCTCCCATTGCAGGCAGTTGTTTTCACTTTTTTGGGGTCGTCAAACAGCTGCTTTGACGATCTTGTGCACGACTGAACGGGACAGCCGGAAAGGCAGCCAACCTTGCTGATTGCTCTTTGGAACTTGCTGAAGCCGTTTCATGTTATGTATGACATGACATGGTTTGTTTGTTTTCGTCGAAGCTCTCGGGGATTTGTCAGGGCTTTCAGCAAACTGGAGCCAGGCTGTGGCGGCTGAGTTGCCTGTACATGAAGCTCGAAACCCCTCAGCATTTGTCATGGTCCGGCACTCGCAACCTGTTGCAAAGCAGATTGTAATGGCACTTGCCCAATGTTGCAAAGCAATCAATGCTCATGAAGCTGTTCACAGCTTGTGTCTTCATGATTCACGAAAGAAGCTGTTGAATGGCTGGCCACGGGTGGCTTGCATGCGGTGATTGGTGTGTGTGTGTGTGTGCGCGTGTGTGTGTAACCCTTGGAATCATAGGGATCCTTTCGGATTGTTTTCGTTTTGACTTCTGTTTTACGTTTTGCAGCAGGGGGACATGGCGTGCGTTCAGGGACCATGTCCAACGAAGCTACCTGACGCACGGGATATGAGAGCTGATCACTCTCACGTACCTGCTATTTTCCTTCTTTCTGAAATGGCACGAGGCTAAGCCAAGAACCTCAAGCGGCAGATGTGAGCGGAACGTCGTCAGCCTGTTCGTCCGTCGTTCGTTTTCTTCCTCTTTGGGCCATTTCTCCGCTTGAAGACCCCCAGGATTCGCTGGTTCCCTACCGGTATCCTTAGGAATTGGAACCCTAGGCCGGCGTGTGGCACCGCTATCAAGTCAGTACGCATTTCCATGAGTGTGCTTGGCCACGTGCCAACCCGGGATGAGCCCGCAGAGTGCCTCCGGTGGACCCGTTGAACGGGGGTTTGTCGTTATCTCCCTTGCTTTGGAGATGTACGTGTCCGAAGCGGACAGCAGGTGGCCTAGGCCGAACGTACGATGATTTTTGTCCCATCTTTGGAATTCCAAGTTGGCTCATGCCTGTACGTGACCGTAGCGGTCAGAGGTGGCAGCCTTCGGGCAAGCCGTACGTGGTCGCAGCGACCGAAGTTTGTTCAAGGTTCATTGGAACCTGTCGAGACCTTGGGTGCACATACAGCGTATACATTCAAACGAGGCAGGTTTTCCTAGGTCGTTTTAATGAGGTTCGGCTTCATCGGTTCTCGTCCCCTCCATTTGGTTCCCCTTTCATCCCTTCCCCTTCACACACTTTTGTTTCCTCTTTTCTTTCATGTCCTCCTGTCTTCACGTCTGGTCATCTCATCCTTTTCTTCGTTTGCGCGCACATTGGTCCCGGCCTTAGTGTGTACGTGCACTTCTACACACATTTTAACACAGGTTTCAGGTCGCCCAGGTCTTTACAATGAGGTGAGCTTCATCGGTTGTCCCTGTGCACTTGGTTCCCCTTTCATTTCAACCACTCGCACTTTTGTCCCGTCTCGTCCTCTTGTCATGTCTTCACTTTCTTGTCTCTTGTGCGCGCACACGTGCACATTGGCCCTCACCTTAGCTTCTCGCCTCCCCTCGGGGAGGCGTGTGTGTGTGTAACCCTTGGAATCATAGGGACCCTTTCGGATTGTTTTCGTTTTGACTTCTGTTTTACGTTTTGCAGCAGGGGGACATGGCGTGCGTTCAGGGACCATGTCCAACGAAGCTACCTGACGCACGGGATATGAGAGCTGATCACTCTCACGTACCTGCTATTTTCCTTCTTTCTGAAATGGCACGAGGCTAAGCCAAGAACCTCAAGCGGCAGATGTGAGCGGAACGTCGTCAGCCTGTTCGTCCGTCGTTCGTTTTCTTCCTCTTTGGGCCATTTCTCCGTTTGAAGATCCCCAGGATTCGCTGGTTCCCTACCGGTATCCTTAGGAATTGGAACCCTAGGCCGGCGTGTGGCACCGCTATCAAGTCAGTACGCATTTCCATGAGTGTGTGTGTGTGTAAGTCTTGCCTGGTGGAACTGGTCATTTTGCTCCTTGTGGCTGATTTCAATCGTATTGGTTTGATCTCAGGCCCAGCTACAGTTGCCCCGCTTCAAGCAAGCAGCCAAAGCAATGCAAATGCAGAAGCCGCAAGAATCCTCAGATGCAACAGTCCGATGGACACAGCCCTGGATGCAACTAAGACCGCAGACGGAAACAGGCGGAGATGTGGAAACACCATGGATTGGATGGCACTAAAAGGTCATCGCCAGTAGGTTGGAGGACATTGCTATTATATTCAATGGCTTCAAAATTGTTCTGAGGATGTGAAGCCAGACAAAACTGCGTGCAATAGGTTATGTTGCCAAAGTGAGCAGCATTGCTGAAGCAGCTGATTGTAGCTGTAGCCCGTGTGGTGCCGATTGATTTGTTCGAAAATGCAAGGAGTGACACTGAGTGGCGAATGTGTTCCAGCAGATCTGGTCCAGTTCTTTTTTTCTCCGTGGGATAGTAACGTTCCAGCCTAAAGCGAGTACAGAAAGGAAGAGTAATGTCTCTACTTGCAATGGCCTCTAACTTAGCTCCAACCTATTATATAGCTACGACCTCCAACATAAGAGCTCTTGCCCTGCTCAGCACGACAAAGAGTCAATCTCATGTCCAGATTGAAAATGCTCGTCCGCTGCTTTTTTTTGTCTTGAAATCATCACATGTTCAAGGACAAGGCCTCAACGAGGTGCAGCTAAGTGCGAGTGTTTCGATGCAAGAAACACAAAGTCAGAAAAGGGACAGGTGATATGTTTCTAGATATTTTGTCAAGATAATTAAGATACTTGAATTCGAAGACCTGAACTCCCTCAATGCCAGTGAATGCGACAGGCTCAAATGGTCACAATGGCGGAGAGCCAGCCGCTGACAGGTGCGGCACTTTTGATGGTCTTGGGTCCCGGGTGTTGGACTTCACTGCCCACTGGAAACTAGAATGCTAGGAATTCAAAATGTCATTCGAACAATCCCTCTACATCTTACTTTCTTCTTTTCTTCTCTAGAGTTTCCAAATCAAACTTGAGACCTTCTCCTTCTGCGCCCAAGATACTGGTAACTACTTGAGCTTAGTACTCTTACTTACTCGCCTCTGGTAACCTCGTAGCTATCTACTTACTCACAGCCTGCCCCCTGGGCAACAAGGTCCAAACTGCTTTAACTACTCGTTGCCAATATCATGCCGTCTCTATTTGCAATGGCCTCCAACCTACTGGCGATGGCCTCCAACTACTGTTTTGTCCACTTGCCACTTTGTTACTTGTGCCAGCCCGTCGACTGAGCTGGGCTGACCAGGCAAGGACTCGGCCTCCAGACATAGTCCTTGTGCTCTTTGCAGAATGTGATTCATTTGTCAGCTCTTCGTCTCGTCGTTGCGCGGCTGTGCCCTTTGCAGAATGCTGTGCCTTTGGCCTCCACCATCATAGAGGTGCCTTGATGTAATTTCTTTTCACTTTGCCTTAAAGGTGCCTTGGTGCGTTGTTTTCACTTCGCCTCTCAAAGAACATGTGAGGCACCTCTGGCTGCACATTTGGAGCTCGAAGATGACGACGATGAGGTTGACAGGTGCTGACTCAGCTACTGATACAAAACTGCTTTTGAACTCCAGTTGCAAGTGTGGCAAACCGGTTTTGGTCACACATCCCTAAGCAGGAGTCACTCCTCCACACTGGACTCCACACATGCTTCAAATCTAAATTGGACGAATCAGCAGCCATGTGAGGCCTGGTGTCCGGACGCTAGAGATGGGACTTCTGATGCAGGGGAAGAGCCCTCAGTCATCGTTTTCTATTTTTCCTGTCAATCAAACGATTATATGCCTCTCCATGTCACCATGTCCTCTTTTTCTTCGTTTCTAGGCTCTTACATTCCAAGTGAAGACATAACAAATGGGCACTTGTCTTGGAGTGGTTTTATTGCAAAACTCTTTGCAGGTTTGCATACAGAGCGGCGGTAGACCTGCCTTCCAATGGGCAGCTAGTTGAGGAGAGGACCTCAAAGAGACAAAGAGAGTCCGCAAGCGTGATGAGATACAAGAAAAACCGTTCGCTATCAGAAACAAGTGCCACGCTAGTAGTAACAAGTGCCTTACTAGTAGTAACAATGTTTGCTATTAGAAACTTCTTTCAAAAAGCTTGAAAACCTTCCCTTTTGTCACTTTTGTCCAAGCCTTCGCTCGTTGTTAGTTGATTGTCTGAGCATGGACCGCAGAGTAAATGGACTGAATTCGCACCGGTCTCTGGAAAGGGAACAGAAAGAACCAAACATAAGACGTACTTTCTTTTTGCAGAACACAGGCGGAAACGGTTGTTGATGTACAATGCTGCACAGGGTAGTATTATCAGTACATTGCTGATGTACAATCGTTGCGGCACACGTTGATGATCGATGTCTCGAAACAAGTCGAAGGTTGTTGGACCTTTGCCAGAAGGCATAGAGATCCTGGTGCGCTCCTGGGATGACCTTTTGAACTTCCTAGACCCGAGTGAGTTCCAATATCAGGTCAAGGATGAGGGCAGTCCAGAACATCCCGCAGCTTTATGGTGGAGCTCTGTTTTTTTTTTGTCTTCTCTTTTTTTATATGATGTCTCGATCATAGCATTCCTTCCTCTATACTTGGCGCACAAGCAAAAGCCCCAGGGTAGAAGCTGAGCTGAAGCAGCTTGGTCTCTTTCACCATGGCCCTCATCTTAGAATAGAGCTGCAGTTCTAGATTGGCAAACATCAAGTCTTGAAAGACTCAACAGAAGTCAAGTCTTCAAAGCATGATGCTGTTGCGGATGATTTGAGTTCATCATCAGGCTTTCTCGTCAGAATCACTGGCGGCGAATTCGCGGAAGTTGTCATAAACCTCAAGGCCTAGAAGCTTTATATGATCAGCTTTCCACTGACAACGAACAGAGAAGCGCCGTGTATTGAGAATGAAGGCTTGCGTAATGGGTCCCAGAGAAGGACGACCATCTAGGTGGGCTTGTCGGGAAAGAGGCATAGCTTTTCATGCGTGGATGGCGATTAGTTCTCCAGCCCAGTTGACAGCTGTTACGGTTGACGAGGAAAGCTTCCAGAGAGATACAAAGCTGTGACTGCTGTGCTGGCGCAGGGTTCACGAAAATGTGGAGCTCATAAGAGCACTGGCGCCAGAGGCATTGCGAGTCTTTTTTGGTGCAGCTTTTAAGATGTTTTGACAAGAAAAAGCCATGACGATGTCGAGTCTATTAAGTTGCAGAATGCACATTGCGTCTCAATAACTGTTCTGTACAAAGCAAGCGATGTTGGACATGTTTCGACCCTTGCCTGGTATTTTTTTGAAAATAACAACTTTTCCTCCTTTAGAACACTCAAGTTTCCCATGCTTAAGTTTCCCTAAGACATATAGAAGCCAAATCATTAAGCCTGAGGCCTAGCCGCTACAACCTGCGTCCAAGATACTAGTAGCCTGCCCCGCTGCAGGGAAGAACAACTTATCTAGTGTCATCCTGACAGTCTTGAGTCTCTATCTTGCACCAGTTTCTAGGATGTTCTGCATCGTCTTGTTGGGCCCACAAGAGTAACATCCTGGCCAGCTTGTGCAGGATGTTCTGGACAACACTGAGGGCAGCGCTTTCAGAAGAGCTGCGATGCTTCTGGCAAGAAGCCCAATGTAAGACATTGCATGAAGCCACACATTTGGACGGTAAAGAACCTTTCTGCACCCGATGAATCCGACTTTGCTCTAGTGGTTTTAGCGATGTAGAGATGAGTTGGCACTCTGAGCCATAATATGACCATTGAGATTCCAAGGCTGACGATGAGGATGAGGATGGGTGAGGACAGCTTTCAATTCCCAGCACTCATATGTGAATCTCAACCCAATATGAAAGCGCCCAGGAGTTGTCTCTAGCTGCCTCTGCAGCCATCCGCGGTTTCATGTGATGTCACCAGATGACTGCTCTTCGCTTTCTTGGCTGGGAAGGTTGTGCAACTATGTAGACTATGTAGCACACTGAATGAACTACGTAGACTCGCTAGTCATGCCTGCCTGTTTGCGAAGCTGAACTTCTGGAGACACCTGGCTCGTCCTCTCACTCCACACATGTCAGCCATGCTTGTGTGGAACGTCAGCTTTTGCGTCACCTCAGTTCGGTGTGCACATGGGTCTCACTCAAGTGAAGTTGGAGGTGAGCGGCATCGTGGCAACTTGAAATTCTTTGTTTCCAGCTTGGTGCTCATCGTGGCAACTTGTCAAAGCCTCTTGACCACGACTGCCAAAGGGCTCACCTTCTCTTCACTGTAGGATCTCCTTTGAGAGTTGCGTGAATCAAAGACTTTGACGGACTGCTTAGCTTGTATCCACAACCGACACAAAGGAGAAATCAAATTTGAGCCGCTCCCCGCCAGCGGCTAGCGCCCTGCAGCCCGCAGCCCTGCAGGAATGGACATTCACCAGACTAAATGCAGTCAATCTGTGAGCCGAGAAAGAGGGTTGCTCCTGCAGCACTCATGAGCCAACATAAGTGCTCAAGACAACTCATGGCCTGGCAACGTAACTCTTCTTTGAATAACTAATTGAACCATCTCTTGTGTCTTGAACTGACTGGGTCGACAGTCTCAATGCTGTTTGCATCCTTGGAAAAAAATTGCCAATTGGAAGCTCCAACTGTTTCATCGATTTCCCCTTGAATTTTGTATTGGTTCCCCTTTCAAACTGGGCCAGAGAAGTGCTGAGTTGGAATCTCATGGCGCCGCAACGGCCCATGATGACACGGTGCACGGAAGAAGAAGGGCATCCTCATGGCGGCGCATGACACGGTGACGACAAAAGCTGTTTTAACTTGATTCTAATAGCTTCTTGTTACTACTAGTGAGGCACTTGTTACTACTAGTAAGGCACTTGTTACTACTAGTAAGGCACTTGTTACTACTAGTAAGGCACTTGTTACTGATGGAATGATGTCAAAAGCTTACCGTGTTCATTGCGCTGACCGCGTCCTGTTCATAATCCTTCGATGCTCTGCAAGAAGGGTCCAAAGCCGACAGACCCGAGTGAAAATAAGTACTCCTAGCCCATTTGGATGCCTCTGTCAGAAGGTGTGAAGCCTCGCATCATAAATTGATAGAAGTGTCCATGATTTGAACAAGCGGTGTAGCAGAGAGGTTAACCATGGGGCTGAGAAAGATTGTGGCGACAGCAGGACAGAAACGCAGCAGACAGGCAACAAGCATTGGTTTAGCGTGACTCAGGCACCTATATACACACAAACGCAACGCGCCTCATAAGAAAACATGATCGGATAGAGCAATACACTCTCTTTGCAATGCCTTACTTTGGATTTCAGTACAAATGATGGCGCGAGCCTTAATCATCATATCTTGCTTTGCTCCTAAATGTGCTTACATGACGACCTGAGAGCTTTGATACACTGGTGGTTCTGTTGATAGATTCTGTTGCAAGGCAACGGTACTACGGCCGGTGAATGCTCCTGTTGCTCCTGCACCCTTGGTTTTCGACTCGGCCAGTGGTGTTTGTCTCTCCAGCCTCGGTAGGGGTGCTGTGTTGAACCAACATGAAACGTCTTGAACATACAGACGTCTTGAGCAAAATGCTGCCTGTCTTGGATCTGATTGGGGAGCACGCAGACACAGGAGCTTTCTTCCGTTCTCCAAAGGATGTATCAAGCTGAGGCCTTCAAGACAGGGTGTGTGCCTGTTAGGCGTCCAGGCTGGGAAGCCCATTCACAAGCAGCCTGTTTGGGGTTGGCAGGGGTGGATGATATTTTATAAAGCAAACCATCACTATTATACTGAGGCTCCCAACCAGTGACCCTTCACTCTCCAGTCTTTAACTGGGTGGGGGCATGATGTGTTTACCCAAGAAATCATGAAGTAGATGTCAGTCGGTGCTTTCCGGTAAAGAAGGTGTAAGGAATTGAAGTCCTGAAAGCCCATCTAAACGCCTTTGTGCAGTGGCAAGTGGCAGTAAAGGCCAACGCTGCAAGATTGAAAGGTTCTTAGTTGAGGTTCACTAAGTTTACTACTACACGTCCAGGACCTAAGACCTTTGAAGCGCAGGGGCTGTTGAATGGGGGTTCTAAAGAGGCGCCTCGTGAAAGCACATCCACCCCTTTCGGTTCTTTTCATGATCAAAGCCTGTTGAGGCTCTGTGTGTACCAGCAATCAGCTTGTCCATCCTGGAGTGAGGACTCAATATCTGGCACAGGTCCTTTTCTTCGTGAAGAAAGCAGAACGTAGTGTTTGTAACTTCCACCACAAGTTAAGTTCCAAAAAGTTTAGGAACCAAGTAATTGAGCCTTAGCCCTTGTACATCCGATTGGTAGAAGTAGCGGCTATGTTCCCTACCTGTTAGCCTACTCAAACCTCCTACAGCCTACCCCCTGGAAAAAAAGCATATGCGATCTTCTCCGACAGTGAAACTCTGTTGAATCTGCTTGAGCGTCGCTAGGATATTGCCTCCTTCCGGATCAAGCACACCTCAACCAAGCATGGCTTTAGAGACTCTAGAGGAGACTTGCCCGAGTTGTGGTAACGTGTGGATCCTCAGCATTTGACTTTACACTGAACTGTCCCTGTTCCGCGCCTACAAGGCCTACATGCCAGATGCCATTTTTTGTCGCCACTGTGGACAAAAGAAGGCTGAAGGGACCAAGCAGTGAGGCACTTCAACACTCTACCTTTGGAGTTCTAACCAGGCTGAAGTGCCTCACTACTCACCATTTCCAGGCTCTGGAAACGGAAAGCAAATTATTTCGTGTTGAAGTGGTCCGTTCTGCCAGGCCCACTAAGCCCTTCAGATGGTGCAGCGGGCTCAAAACGCTAACCTTGACAAGAATATGTTCATGGAACGCGCAATTCCAAGACTGTCGCTTGGCGTACATGACCTTATGCGCATTCGCACCTACACCCTTGGTTTGTGCAGAAAACCTTGTTAAAGTATAACAACAAAGTGCCGAGAAACAATACGCCCAAACATGAGTTTCGACGTCCTGAACATACTCAAGACATCCATGATTCGTGCGCGAGGCTGATCACCTGACGTTACCTGCTTCTGTGAATGTTGAAACAAAGTCGTCAGCCCCGATTACGGTTGAGCTACAGGTTGTTTCAGGTAGCCAGGCGGCAGACCTGAGTCCTCATGTGGAATTGTCTTGAACTCAATTGTTTTGGAACTTCTTGGAACCTCTTGATCTCTTTGGACCACCTTCGGACATATCGTACGTGCGTACATTGAGCTCCTATCCATGAGTGCGTGCGCAATCGGTCACTGCTGAACTTTGATTTTTGGTTCCTTCGCAGTGGGCTTGAACTAGTGGGTCGGCCACAGATGTCACACACACTGTTTGCACCAAATGCTTTGCTTTGACTGAAGTGAGGCTCAGTACAGCGATGCTCCTATTTACACAGGTACGTTCGTATACTGCAGCCTGCTGCCAGTTTCGAAAAAGATCGTTTGAAAAGTGGCTTCGGCAGCTTTGAGTGCATGTTTAAGCAACATTTTGACTTTGATGCCACAGCTTCGAGAAACATCAAGCATGCTAAACCCTGTAAGCTGAGTGTGTGAAAAAGAATCGTAATCGAAGTGTTTGCCACCCATGCAAGCTTGTCAGGCGCAGTCACAGTGGGATTCTCAGTTCCATGTTCCTGGTGTCATTCCTTGTTTCATTCTTTAAGTTTTTTCTTTTTTGGCACGGCTGCAGAGACCTTGATTGAAAGATATCATTGTCTCCGTTGTGGACAGTCGCGACTTGGGGCTCATGATACGCCCAACGCCCGAATTGCCGAGCAGAAACCGTGTGGATAGGCGTATGGGAGCGAACCACAAATGTACGGTGCAGGCGAGAAGAGACGTGGGCAACGATAGGGTGCATTGGAAAGCTAAGAAAAGACAGAGCTCTTTTCACATATGATATACTGAACCGCTCAGTAGGATTCTTTCGAGTTGCGGACCTTGAGGGGTCATGACTCCAACATCTGGTGGGGCACCTGTTGCTGTCTCAGAGTGTCGAGCCGACACCATGTGTCGTGCGTTTGGTGGCAAGTTGGCCTGCTTGAATTGCCTTAGGTCGTTTATGCTAGTGAGCCTGCGGCGCCTGTATACAGCAGTGCACTTTCAGGCCGTCAATGCGTTTGATTCGACCTAGCCTTGTGTGCAGGTGTTGCGGATCACCAACGCAGCTGAACAGAACCAATAACTAGTAACTGGACGAGAAACCACCTGACAAGGTGGAGCAACTCCAGCTTTTACACGGAAGTTGCCTCAACAAACCACTATACAGTATTCAACCAACTATCATTGTATCGTCGGTGAAGTCCGTCACAACAAAACCCATGCACAGGACAAGACTAAAGGACCAACAAGGTAGAAGAAGAAAGAGGAGATGAGTAAAGAAAGCAACGACCAAAGAGGACTCGAAGACAAAGACAAGACAGAATTAGGCCAAATGAACGGCATAACAACAACAAAACCAGAAGAGTGTCCAAGAATGCGAATACTGTAGAAACAACCAAATTTATGGCGCTTTGTTGCCACGATTTTCGAAACTATTTCCTCTTCTGTTTGGAAGTGTACAAGTTGAAACAGCAATAGCCCGCTTGTCGCGACCCGGCTGTCAAGCTCGCTGAATTTCTACCTGGTAGGAACGGTGACCCCTACTTCTGCCAGTGCACCTGTTGCGGCCATCTTAACAAGTGCATCGCTAGTAGTAACAAGTGCCTTACTAGTAGTAACAATAAGCTACTAGGAGCAAAGGGCATCGCTACTAGTAACAAGTGCCTTACTAGTAGTAACAAGAAGCTACAAGTAGTTCCCGGGCAAGCCGGCGGCGGAAGTTTCCTATAAGAACAAATTGACCTATAGGAGTGTTCCGGTTCTCTCAAACACGCGCGTCCCCCAGTCAAACGCACGCACTCCGGACTTCAACCTTCAGTACACACTTACCTGTTGACAAAACAATCAACTGTAACCAGTGTTGGGTTATGATTCGTGGTGTATGTTGAGTGGTGTATGATGAGTGGCGTATGATGAGTGGGCAGCGAGAGATGAGTCAGCAATGAGAGATGACTCAGCAACCACAGATGACTCAGCAGCGAGAGACGACTCAGTCGCGAGAGATGACTCAGCAGCGACAGATGACTCAGTCGCAAGAGATGACTCAGCAGCGGGAAATGACTCAGCAGCGAGAGATGACTCAGCAGTGAGAGATGACTCAGCAGGGAGAGATGACTCAGGAGCGAGAAATGACTCAGCAGCGAGAGATAACTCAGCAGTGAGAGATGACTCAGCAGCGAGAGATGACTCAGCAGCGAGAGATGACTCAGTCGTGAGAGATGACTCAGCAGTGAGAGATGACTCAGCAGGGAGAGATGACTCAGTCGCGAGAGATGACTCAGCAGCGAGAGATGACTCAGTCGCAAGAGATGACTCCTTCGCGTACTAAAGTTGTACCACATAGTCGCCAGTTCTCAGCCTCCAGCTCCCCAGATACTCCGCGTACTAAAGTTGTACTACAAAGTCGCCAGTTCTCAGCTTCTAGCTGCACAGATTGCTCCGCGTACTGCAGTTCTACTACACAGTCGCCAGTTCTCAGCTTCTAGCTGCACAGATTGCTCCGCGTACTAAAGTTGTACTACAAAGTCACCAGTTGTCAGCTTCCAGCTCTACAGGTTGCTCCGCGTACTAAAGTTGTACTAGAATACTAGAAAGTCGCCAGTTCTCACCATCCAGCTCCACAGATACTCCG